TGACAAAGCGGAATCAAAAAGATGGATCAAGCAAGCGAAGGCAGATCTCCATGCTGCTAAAACACTCTTATGCAAATGTCATGCACTTGTTTGTTTCCACAGTCAACAGTGTGTTGAAAAGCTTTTGAAAGGCGTTCTTTATGCAAAATGTGGTATTCCTCGTCAACAATTGCGGACACACGATATCCACGGACTTGCATCAGCTGTAAAACGTCTTAAAGGTGCGCCAGAAGATTCTCTGGATCTTTGTTGTAAACTCGATAGTTATTACTTGCCCACTCGCTATCCTGACAATCAACCGAAGCCCAAAGTCCCTGCAGAAGAATATGATGACCGCGAAGCGAGAATAGCTTTAGACGTTGCAGAAAGCGTTTTTCTTCACCTCGAGGAGTTTGCCAACCAAGAGTAACTATCCATATTTTCATAATTTAAATTTGACCCTCTCGCTGCACATAATTATGTCTAAAACTTTCTTACTTATATCACTCGCAAATTGTTGTTAATCTAATAGTTGAACTGCTGGTATTCAATAGTGAATAATCTAAACGTATAGGATCAATTTGCGAACGTCGTTGTCGACAAGCTTTTTTTATTTGTATAATGTTTATCTTAGATCTTAGATTATTTTTGATTTTTACAATGATTTTCTGATTTTTTTATAATGAATATTTTTTGAGCTCGTTTTCAAAAAAACAGTTATGTCATATTATTGCGTGATTTTCAGTTATGCCATTTTAGCTACTATGTGACTTTAGATTAAAAAAATGGCCAATACTCACTTAGAAAAAGACAAAAGCGCAAATGACACTCCACAATCGTGGCTTTTGAAACACTTAAGAAAAAATCATAATGTAATACCTGTATATAAAAAACTTACTATAGCCTAATGTTATAAAATGTGCACAAATAAACGACCAAACTCTGTATCCACACATGCTAAATTATATACCATATTGCATATAGCCTACATTTGCCTTGTTCTATAATACAAGAAATTAATTTACAATTAATATGATACAATTTACTGATAAACTTTTACTATATGATATAACTTTGCTTGCTTTAGAATTATTTTACTAAAAGCCTTGTTCAAACCACCGAGGATGAGGGTTGCTTTTTGGCATTTATATAGAGCAGGTCATCATGGCATTACTTTTCATGTTGTATACTTGGCTATAATTATTTACAAGCATGAACTTGTTGATGAAATGCCAATTGATGAAAACTGTCATGAAGCATGTTGTATTAAGTGGATTGTGTGTATTTTGCAGAACATTCAAAGATACAAACTACCTGTTGCCAGTTTCATCTTGAAATTTTTGGTAATTCGACGACAAATGAGAAATTCATATTTCAAAACAAGTTCTTACTTTAATCAGTTTTATGTTTTATGTAACCTAATAATTCATAAACAAAACATGTCTTGGTACATCCTAAATGCATCTTAACACATCAATATCCAAATTTTTTTGAAAAAAATTAAATATTTTAAGGCTGGCATCCCATTTGCAAGCAAGCCGTGTTGCAAGCCATTCCGTCACTCAAAAACAACAGTCCGCACGAAATACACGCGAAGCGATAAAACAGCTTCAAATCGGCTTCATGCATGTCTAGGCATATTTATATAGAGCATTGAAGTAAAATACATCTGGAACAATAGGTCAGGCGGTAAATTGAAGCCAGATTTTTCCATTTTTGCAGGTCGCGCCAGTCCATTTTTTAAAAAATTCACAAATAGCATTTTTATAATTATAAAATTTTGAAAGTAAAAGTTTCGATAGCACTTAAAAATATCATCGAATTTATAAAATATTATAGTCAAAATCATAAAATATCGAAAAAAATTGGTCAAAAATCATATTTCTGAGGAATTTGAAAGAAAAAAGAAAAGTTACGAAAAGTCCACGCGATTTTTGCGACTTTTTCCGAGTTTTTGAAAGTTTGAGGCATACCTAAACCTTCAAACCCATGGATTGTTCAAACAACTTAAATTTTGTAGAGTCTATAAGGTTTCGTAAAAATTGAGCAATTTGCCAAAAAGAAAAATGTGTTTTTATAGAAGCATTTTTTATGCCATGAAAATACACATACTGCAAATATACATAATAATACAGCTGAATGTCATAAAGAAAAATGAAAGATCTTCGCAAAGCTATTTTAATGAAGTGTAAATGCATTAAAATCCAGATCATATTCTAAATACGCAACTCTCCATTAATTCTTATTTAATTATGTCTGGGTGAAGAAAATAATGAGAGAAAAATGAAATAAAATCAACATATCACGACGGGCCGATAAGCTTGATTGTTGATATGAAAACATACATGAAATAATCAAGGAAAAACTGTGTGTCATCAAACAAATAATATCACTCGAACATTGATAAAACGTAAAAGGACATGAACCATACACGAAAAAGTTACATAAAATGCTGTGAATATTCAAACATGTTTAATATAGCATTCATTTTTCTTAACATTCAGTTCCGTCTTGTAGACTTGTATTAGTTTGTCGATCGATCGTTCTCGTTCTCGAAGTTTGGTTCCACTTTTGGTTGTTGTAAAATGTTCCAGGCTTTATGTTCCATAATTTTACTTTGCGCATGCGTTATGCAAAACTTGTCCCTGTTGCCGGGGCCAAAGTGTTTGTATGGTAAAAAACGTCTCGCCAGGGAGAGATACCCTCTTTCCTAAATAGGGTGACCCTAGCAGTAGGGTTACCCTGTTCGAAAGAATCGCTCATGTAAGCGCTCGCCACTGATCTAATGTGTAAATTATAGTAACTTAGTCCTCCCAGGGTGTCTTGGACGGTAGGGTTACCCTAGTACTCGAGAATATATAACCGGCCCAGAGATTTCTATACTGTAATATTTGTTTTCAATAATAAAACTTATGCAAACTTGGTCTTTTTGAAATTTAATATGAAATTCAATGACAGAAAATCATGTACATTAAGTCGAGCCGGAAATACCCAAAGATTTATTATTTATTTTTGCAAAGGAACGAGTACAAATCCTACAATTGTGGTGATAAAACTCACTGCCCATTGCATGAAAAGAAGTAATGATAACAAATAAGCTAACTTTCCTTTCGTGAACCATGGAGATAAACTATGATATACTTTTTTCTATAGACTAAAAAGTTTAATCGAGTAAATAAGTTTGACGCTTGTAATAAAATGACGCACATCTGCATTCATATGTAGCCGACAAATAGCTCCTTCGTTGGTATTCATAAAAGGCATCCTCGTAGGACTCGATAACTGACACACCACAGTTGACTCGCTGTTATGAATTTTAGGTTTTTACCTTGATTTTCATCATAAAATTGCTTGCTTCATGCCAAATAGCACATAGTTTTTCTTTGCCCATTCTTCAGGGGGGGGGGGAGAGAAAAATTGTGAAATTTTTGAGAAAACCATCCCATTCCGCCATTTTTTGACAACATCCGATATCTAAAGCAGTGATTGAGATAGCCGCTCCAATTATTATAGAACTCAATGCAGTAAATGCTTCATATACGCATGCGTAATTCCATGTTCATAGTATTTATATTTATATAATAACCAGAAGAATTTGAGCAATTTCATTGGTCGAGAGCTATGATCTTTCAGAGGACATACGCACGGAATAACGTCACAGAAAATTTCATGTTTATAAAAACAAACAAATGGCGGATATAATTGAAAATTTATCTCAATACCTCCCAGAATAGAAAAGATAATCACAAAAAGCTAGTTGAGGCAGTTAACGTATTTGAGCAACAAGAAAAGAAAAAACCCGTTTTCAAACATTAATTTGTACTTCGTCTTCGATAACAAAATTTCAACAAAATTGATCAGCTATTGCTTGTTTATTTTGTTAGCCAATCACATTTTATCACATGATTAAGCTAGCCAATAGCATTTCTTATTCCTATAGATCACGTAGCATGATATTTGCAAAATCAAGACTTTACAATGTTCCAACTTCCAAGTGTTGGGGGACAAAGAAAACAAACTGCTTGACCGTTTAATTTGGCCGCTCGTCCCGGCGGCTCGTGGCCACTTTAGTTTTTATCACAATTGACGTCATACCCGTGTATCTATAACTGTATAAACAACGGTTAAATGTTATCTATTTGTTAAATAGTTAATTATATTGAGTTATATTCTTATAGTAAATTGTTTATTGTTACCGAGCTTGTTAAAGCAAATTTGCACGAGGATAGTGAAGGCGTGTCTTTACCGATAACGAAGAGCCTTTTTTACGAATGAAACAAAGATTTTTGACAGCTGAAAAGCAAAATAACGTTGCAGAACTGAAAATCACAAAACCCGAAAACAGCTTAAGATGAGTACGAAGAGCAATATCACTTCATCATTAGATACAGAAAAACTTTGACTTCCGTCATGCAAATTTCTTTTGGTCAATTCAAATCAATATGAATATGAAATAAAGAATTACGCATGCACTGATAGCTCACCATACGCGCACACGGTGGAAAATCGTTCACTTGTGGCAAAAAATATTCAACATATTGGTTGAATATTTGTCGCCATCGGCACGCGTGCCAAAATCACAGAGAATGACAACACACACCTGGGTAAGAAGCGTACGCTAAGCGCCACGAGTCACTCATAGCACTGTTGATAGCGCTCGTGTGCGCCAGGCATCGCTTGTTCTTTAGCAGTCCACTCGGCTGAAATAAATATAAAGTACGTTTAATAGTCAAAAACGAAAATTCTCATAATCTCATTCATACTAATTTTGCTCTTTTCAATGAAAATGAGGGTTACTGCCCCTCTTTTAAAAAAAGTGAAATGCCCTTACCCCATCTGCCTCCTTGCTTTAGACGGCTCTGCCTCACCCTGCCACAAAAACCCACTTATTATCTATCATTTTTTATCTTCAATTCATTATAGACTTTATATATTAATTGATTAAACACCCCGATGATTCACGCCAAAAATATTACAGCCATTGAACTACAAAAAAGAAGTACAAGATAAGCTAAGAATAAGTAAAACACTGTATCAAGAGGTACATCTAAATAATTGATTATGGTTTAATGTTTAATGCTACGATACGAAGCTTTAATGAATCAACCGCGTTTTTCCGTTATTCCGGAACCGTAATTCCGCCATTTTGGGATTCCTAGAGCGTGTTGACTTAATAATTCATACAGCGTGAGCTTCATAAGACATCAAGCATAACGAGCCTTATCCATAATGTTGTCAGAATGATACTTCGCTTTCGTTAATGCACGATGGCTGACAAAGGAAATGGAGAAAAGGCTGGTGAAAAGAGTTTCTTTGCCAGAACAGCAAAAAATACAACAAAGAAAGCTAAAAGGGCTCAAGAGAAGGTATGAAAATATAGTTGTTCTAGTGTATCCAGTAGGTGTTGACAGGAACATTTAGAATGGATTTTATATACAAGCTCGTAGGAAGCGTCGTGATATTGTTAGAATATCCGAATTATTTTTTGCAACCCGGAAATCTTTATCGTTAAAACTATGAAAACATATTGTAATGTGCAATTTTTGGCAAAATTATTTCAATTCTTAATTGTTCGAACAAAAATTATTGTACATTAGAAACTTTGCTGCAGACATTTCAGTGAATGTTGTCATTTTCTTCAGGTGAAAAGAAAACTCGGCAAATCTCACGAGACGAAGGATCAAGCATTCGATACCTTTGTGGATAATTTCAATAAACAACAGGTGATTGTATATCGAATGGATGTGATTCTGCATGCTTTAAAGAAAAACTCCATGTGTTTTTTCTGTTATAAATTCAATTAAGCGAATTTCCGGATGTTCATAACGTTTGAAAGAGATAATGTTATAATGCTAAAACTTCACTGTCTATCATATTAAATAAGTACTATGATAGTTTTATCCATCCATGCCATGATTCTTTTTGTTTATTTAGTTCTTATGGTTTACCCAAGTGTTAGTTTACATTGTAGCCATGGCTTTCTAAGAGAAATAAAGTTTTTAATCTGCCTTGATAACAATTTTAGCTGAGTTGCTTACTGTTATTTAGCAATGAAAGATACATGCAAGATCATTTTAACATACTGTTGCATGTGCGAAATTTATATAGACATTATGGGCAATGGAGCATTTTTTCATATAAGATTAGTTTTTCACTTGCATTTTGTACATTTGTGATGTACCAGGAAATTTGCTATAAATCTTGATTTGTTTGATGTTTGTGTTAAGGCATCACATGGTTACACAACAATTACCCAAATTCATTTATCTCCTTTGATGTTAATGGGGTCTTTAAGCAAACGTGGACAATGTTGTGATTTCTTGATTGATTGAACTGTATATGTTAGTTGTTGTGTTTAGGATGCTGTGCAAAGATTACAAAAAGAACTAAAAAATTACATTAACTGTCTTAAAGGTATGACTGAATGTATTTATCATGTTTTTGGTTATTTGTATTGTATCATTTATCTTTAAGGTGTTAAAATTACTTATAAACTGCTACATTAGCTTTTATGATTTATATTTCAACATATGTGTGGCCATTCATTTTGCAATGATTTGATTATATGATGTAGTATTTCAGATACCTCAATTTAAAACACCCATATATTCAGAAATCAGCTGCATAGAATAAATGTACCCCAGGTAGTGGAAATCTTGAATAATATTTTAGAAGGATCTTAGTAAGATCTTAATTTTGAGATTGCAGTGTGCGAATTAACAGTGTACAATGTCCAATTTGCACATCGTTTTAGCTAAAATGAAAACAATTGCACATCACTTTTTCAAACGATGTGCAAAAATTAGTGGTTTTAATGAAAAACAATGTCATAAATCATATGAATTTGTTCAAGTTTAAAAATATTAATTTAGCAATTAGCGCTATGTTATAATTAACGTAATATCCATTTGATTATGCGTCTAAAGAAACACTTTTGTCAAAAAAATTACACATCGTTTTTTCTGAACTAATTCGCACACTGGAGTGGACAGGATCTTTTAGGGATGTTAGCAAAAGTCTTTTCTTAACCGAGGTCTTGTTAGATTCTGTGTTATCTGACAGAAACTTAATTGAAAAATATTGGATCCTTTAAGGTCTCAAAAACTACAATCTTCTTGGATCTGTCTAGATAAATTGAAATGAAATGTGTACATTTAACATTCTCAGCAATCATATGTCTTCTCTATGTCAGCAACTACTAAACAATTAGTTATGAAGTTGAAATGATTTATGCATATTTTAGCCATGTTAAATGCCAATCAACTATTTGCGGAGGCAGTCAAACAGGTGTATGAGCCAGAATGGTCTGGTAGGAAAAAGTTTGTGGACCTTTTGGATGTAAGTTTAATGAATTTACTGCCAATGCTATTTGAAGCATTTTTTATAGATCAATAGAACTTTGTTTCTTATAACATTTAGAGGCTCAAGTTATGCTGCAGTATATAATAATGATTGCGTAAATACTATCATTCTCATTTCCTACCAAAAATTTGTGGAAAATTTTGTGTATTAAAATTCTACATAAAGCAGTGAAAGAATGTGTTTGACTTTGGTTACCTTATGTCCATTTTTTGTTCAAAATGAAGTGTTTTTAAGTTTGTTTGCTGGTCTGTTCTGTTTATACCTCGTAAAATTGAATGGCCATTTCACAATTCTTCCTTAAATTCTGTTATACTGTATGTCTCTGTTATTGTATTTTGTTTGGTGTTAAATGTTAAACCCTATAAAATTGGGATGGTTTTGCATTTATATATTTTCCCAAATGGCAAGAATTGTGTTTATAAACCACAAGTATTTCATAATGTGAATCATTTTGTAGTCCCTTGATCACAGTTGGACTAAATTGGTGCATCAAATCCAGAATGATGTTCTTGATCCCTTGACTTCATACCAAATGCAGTTTCCTGAAACTAAGGTACGTACGTAAGCAAGCACGAACATGTATTTAGAAAAGGTAGAAATAAGTTTTGGGCAACACGGTAAATCTTATTACAATATTAACAACCCCTCACAGTTTTTCATGAGTGTTTTGTGGTAGAATTGAAATTACTCAGTGATTTATGTGTTTTAACATTACTCGTCGCCGCGCTACTCCGTGAGGGATAACTTTGTGAAACATTAATTATTAACAAACTTAAATATTTAAATACATACGTTGAATATGTACGAAAAAAGACCGTGACGAAATGACGAGGCCGATAATGTGTTTTTTATGGAGCAAAGTCAAATAACTGGATTGTCGTAATAACTGACATACAAGTACTACAAGTACTTCGTATAAATTTTCAGGCAATGATTTAAATTTTTGTTTACATTACCTGATCACAAATCGTACTGTCAATGCGCTGTGGACGGTTGTATGAAGAAAGATAGTTGTACGATTTTAATCGATGATGATTTATTTCAATCATATTTTCCCGGCAAAATTTAAACTTCGGTTTCTAAATAAACGTTTACTCTCTTTACGTTCAGTTGCTATACTTTTTCTTATGCTTTATTCCTTATAATATTAGCTAATATTTTGTATGGAAATCGACACCCCTCTTGCACGTCTTCTAACCAAGACTAGGATGAGTGCGCAACTCTTCTGCACTCCCTAAACAAGACGAGAAGGGTGCGCGCATACCTCCTAGCACTCCACCCAGTTAACTCATCCCTGCATTGTTATAAATGAATAATTTTTTCTGTTAGTCTTCTGGTTTGTGTATTTTTGTGGGGTTCAAAAGAGTTTTGAAACGCCTAAAATCCTGTGCTATCGTCCTATCCAGAACTCGTACAACTGACTCCTTGTTTATTTCTATAACGGTTAAAGCCGATATGATTTGACTTCTCTTATTAATTATTTTTATATTTACTTAGTGTAACTCAAAACAACTTTTGGATAAATTTTCACCATACTTTGAAAAATTTTATTTTCAAAACTGATGCATACATTCAGCTTTATATATAGCTTTTTTTGGGTTACAACTTACAGATAAATTAAAAATATCTTATAAATAATTTCTTCTGTTGACTTTATGCATGAAGGTAGTTTTCGGACTCGTTCAACAGTATCCAGCACTGTTTGATATAATATATCCATACTGAACTTGATTAAAATATTAGTAGAATTTCTAAAAATGTTTGTGCACATCTCTTTTCATTCTCACGTTATTTAAGGATTCTTTTAAATGTTTAGCCACATGATTGCATTTAGAGCAGCCTCAACGCTTCGAATATCATTCGTTTTTTTGGCTAGTATATGTTAGGCTTTGGAAAAATTTCTATACATCGAAGGGAACTTTGCCCGGTTGAAGTAACGTTTTAGCCTGATCATTTAAGTTGTCATTGTGCAATATTGCGACGTCACTGGTCAAAACACATCAATAACTTGAGAAAGATGTGCGTAACAAAGTTTAGTGTCATTTAAAATATCTTTTCAAGTTGCATTATCCAGTAAAATATCTTTAACATTTGTTGGAATGTCCAAAACGCTATATTCAACATGAACATTTTTGTCTTCGATAATCACATAACCAGATGGCTCGATAATTTGCAGCGTTTTCTTAATCTGCTTTTTACGTTGCAACTTCACTCTGTTCTTAGCCAGATACACAAGACACGCTATGATTAAGGCAGCAGTGAGACAACTTCCTGTGATTACATATTTGCCATTCGACAACCATTCTGTTGTGCTGAATTCTGTTCTAACCATTTCTGGAATTGGCGATATTTCTAACTGATTTCCTTGTACACTGCAACCCCCTTTGTTACAAATCTGCATTCGTACCCAGTAAGTCTCATTTTTTGTCAAACCACTCAAAGTGGTTACTCCGACATTGTTGTTAGTTAGTTTTTGTAAACTAACTGTGACGTTTGTTGAATGCTGCGTTGTGTTTCTGTATTCATTATTAATATGAAAAAATATCCTTCCGTCGGTTAGACGTCCATTCCACTCACTTTTCGGTGGAAGTGTCCACGTGACTGTCACGTTGCGAGCGTAATCATTGTAAAAAGTTGGGCAACCTGTTGAGGGACATGTCACAGTTGGTGGGCTGGTCGGAGTTTCTTCAAGAAGTCTCGCATTCCTACAAGTTGGCTCTGAATTTTTGCCAAATTTATTGGCTTTAGCCACAACGCAAAACGTACATAATCTGTGGGGGCGATAGTTGACGAAGTTGTTGCTCGTTAAGGTAATATTGTGTAAAAGTGTCCATATTGTTGGTGGAGTGTTATTACCTGCACACTGAATGACGATTCCATATTTTCGTTCATTGATATATTCAACTCCAGGAGGATCCTTCCATTTTAAAAAAACCTGTTAGAGGGAAGAAGAACATTCTCGATAAAGCTAGTTAAAGTAAATGTGACAATTGTACATGTGACGTACACTCACATTGAAATTCATTGAAACACTCTTCGATCATCCATTATATTACTTTCGTGAGTTTTTACTCGTACATCACAATAACAGGTGTGAAGGATGTTCTATCGTAAAAATTTCTCATTCGATTTTTAAAAGGAAAGGCTCACTAGTCAATTTTTGTCACTTCATCGCTGGTGGAGATTTTTTCTGTTTATAATCTTTTAATGTGGTGGTTGTAATGATATTCACTACAGTCACATTTGCCTGTTTTACGTATAACTTAATCAATATTTAGTACGTACAAGATTTTTTAATGTTCTTAAACTTCTTCATTAATTCTTTAAGTTCATACTGCATCAAAATAGAAATATGTGTTTATGGATTTGATGGAAAACCTGCATTAGATTGATTCTTAAATATAAAATCGAAAACCGCTCGAAATATGAAAAAATAACATGCACATCTCAAATGAAAGTATGAGAAGCATCGATTTATATTCATTCATTTTTCACGTTATACGATTGGTGTTGAACCTCGTCTAACCAATCAAAAAGGTTGCAATCAACGTGGGCAATAGGTAGTGGCTAGTCTTTCTGTGGGACATGGTACGTTCCCCCCGTGAATTGAAGCCTGTTTGTTGGTTGAATCGTTTTACTGGCTCATCGATCATGTAAAGTTTGAATTGTTTTTCTAAATGTGAATTTAATTTGTATTACTGATATGAGTGATATATTGAGTTATACCCATTCGATCACCAGCTTGTTATATAACACAAATTTTGTTATTATCCTGGCGTGCATGTTTTGAGAGGAGTGAGCCGAGCTTACCTTGCGTTCTTTAATTGGCTTGACAACTAGCTGTTCAACAGGCATTGGTAGAAGTATGACCTGTTCAAACTTGCTTCCAGGATCTTCATCATCATAATAGCTAGCGATAAACCTCTTTTCTCTGCTACATTTGCGTTCACAAGCATCTTCATTTTCTCGGATGCCAATGAATACTTTATAGTTAACATGAAATTCCCCTGGCGGATCCGTAATTAAGGACATATATGACATGCACACAAATCCTTTACTTTTTGGTACACCATAAACTTCTTTGATGCTGTTGTAGCATTTCTCATATTTCTTATGAGTTTGCCAACAGTTTTTTTCATCGCAAATGTTGACAAATTGCATTGAGTGCTGCGAGTTGTTTGCTGGTCTCCAATATATTTCAATCCTGTCAAAATTTTTTGCTTCCAAAGCACGAATTCCAAGTATCTCGCATTTTTGTGAAGATGCTACCTTCACCACACTCGAGGAACGAAAAATTTCCTTCGAGTCGCGTCCTGTGATAGATGATCTCGCGACACAGGTAAATAATCTATCGCCTGTCCAGTCGGTGTAGATCGTTAACTTGGAAGACAAACTTGTACCGTTAAGATTTTGCGATTCTATTGTATGGTTTATTTTGTGAGTGCGATAAATAGATCCCCACGACCATTCTAAACTCAACTGCTTGCTGTATTTATTCATAATATTCAGTATACAAGTTAGTGTTATCGTTTCACCTTCATGAACACATTGTTGCTCATTCAAAATTGTCATACGCGTTGGTTGCCCTGATTCTTCGCTGTTTACTTTCACTGCGATGTATATTACGGTCACACACATACATATAAGCGGATGGAGATTCTGCATTTTCTCAACTTTCGTTGAACTATTTATTGATTATCCCAATGTCTTGAAAATTATCTTGCTTTGCGTTGAATTTTTTTGTCTTCCTGTCATTATACGTACGTATAAAAAAGGCTTTTATATATTTTTTCTTTTGTTGCTACTCTATTATTTCCCGACAATTCCATGGCAGGCATTCTTATTTTTACATACGATATTTAAGTTATTTTTTATTTTTTAAAGCTGGGAATTATTATTTAAAACAAACTTTGCAGTATTTAAACTTCATTTTATGAATCCCAAAACGTCAGCAATTTTCAAAATCTAAACAATTATTGACTGCATCAACATTTTATTTGTTCTTTGTGCGATTAATTCTCTTTCAAGTAAGAGCAAGTGAAAACATAAAAGTCTTTTGTCATCAAATGATTTCAATTAAGCAAAGTTACCAAGCAACTTTGTTTTGTAGGTATTTTTGTGTTCCCCCGCATTTAAATTATTCTTACGCAGCATTTTGCAAGTTGAATTCATTTTGAAATATCCTTATACATGCAACGTTAAAAAGTGCCAAAAAATTAAAGATTTTTTGCAGTATAAAATCCAACTCAAGAATAGTTTGTCATTTTCACAAGGGAGTATGAAGCTTCGAGTGCGTTTTTTGTTGTTAAGGAGTATATTGGAGCATATATAATTTATGCAATATTAAGTGCTGCGTGGGTTTTATTTTTTCGACAGTTTTTTCTCATAATTTTATTCTTCATTTACTCTATGTATTCGATAATTTTGTTGATTTAAACTTTTACAAGGTAATTTTCACAAAGCGACTCTACTCGAATTTCATTTGTTTTCAAACTGTAAATTAAGAAACATATATTTATATATACATTGATCAATCCAAGGCTTCAAGCCTTTGAATGCGTTTTTAATCTGTTTCTTGTTTCTCTTTTTATTCTTTTCGAAATTCTACTTTTTATCTACATTGTCATTTGTAAATTGAATCATAAAGGAAAATAAACCATCATCACTCAACTTGTAATTTTTCATCCACCATAACCCTGATAATTGTTTCCTTGTCGGTATTAAAGTTTTTTGTTGTGTCGAGAGAATTTACAAAATCAATAAAGTAGCTATTTTTACATGTTTCATTTTTTAGAATCGCATTGCCAAACGAAGTCGTAAAGTCGTTGATTACGATAGGTATCGCCATCATTTAGAGGTTTGTTCCGAACACTTTTTTATGTCACCTATAGAAGAAAGATGAAAGGAAATATTCATTATTTTTTCTTTCGTTATTATTTGGTTACTGCCACTGCTGGTGAAATGGTACGCTTTGCATGATTGGCTAATACAAAGATTTTTGTCGATTTGTTACTTTTTCGTAATAGCTGAATCGGCTGTCTATTACCAAAAAAGTATGCAAGTTACTTGAACAAAAAGCAGAAGTATTGTTAATACGTATGGCGAATGCTTGAAGAAAAGAGCGAAAGTATTGTTAATATGCTAGTCGGAGGAAGAACACTCTCAAAGATGTTCTATTATACAAAGTAGATTTTACTGTAAAAGCTTCATTTCTTTTGTGCCCATATGCCATCGTCACGTTTTCTTGATTTTATAAACTCACTTTAGTGTTAGTGACTTAACTTTCATAACTTAACTGACTTCTTTCAGTGACGAAGCCAGGCAGACGTTTTACGTCTATTATGCAAGTTTTTTAACAAAATTGTCAGTCATTTCTTTAAAAAATAAATTTCATTCCTTTTTTTAAAGTGAATAATCACCAAAATATTTGCATTGTAAAAAACATGTAATCTTGGACATTGACAGCCTTACAGCTATCAAAGGTTTCGTGTATTTTCAACTTCCCATCTTTCCTATAGATGTTTCAATATATGTACGTGGAAACCCATGGAGGGCTTGAAACACTATGTTTTTCATGCCTACATTTTTATGCATCGCCCCTTAACTCACATAAATTGAGGCACACAGTCAAGTCAAAGTTTTTCGTTTGTTGTTTTTCACGGTAAATTTATTTTATAGCTTCATTATTGATTTATAATCCTATCTATGTTTTGTTATAGACGCTGAAAACGAAAGGTGGCAAAACTGGGGATCCCAAGAAAATATCACAGGTACATTAGAACAGGATATACTTACAAAAGGATAGCAGCATATTGTGTCGAGAGTTGTGTGGCATTTAAAGCAGTTTTTAAGTAGTGTTATGGGATGTTTTGTTATTAGCAGTAACAATACAATTTTCAACATAAATATATCATAAGTCATTGATGAAAAATAACAAAACTAAAAAATGGAGTGGAATTAACATCAACGTGGGATATAACATCAACGTGGGAACTACACCGCTAATTACAAATTTCAATGAACACCGCATTTTGTCATGTTTGAAATCCATTATTTCGTTTTTTTACTCTACCTTTTATATTGGATTTGTAATCCTAAAATTGTATTGAGCACACGATAGCGATGGTAGTTGAATATTGCCGTTGGCCGATAGTGAAGTTTGGATGCCTTTGTTTCTATCGATTTGCTCGCTACTTGGTAAAATATCTATGTCGTTGATACCCCTCCTTTCGTTGGTTTATTGTTTAAATTTATTTTTAGAGAAGGTTTTGCACATAGCTTTTCGTTAAGGATCATTTAGTAATACAAAACTGCTTTTTAGTCTTGGAGCTTATTTTTATCTTTTAACTTAATGATTTTAAAATTTGTTTGAGTAACATGTGCAAAAGCCAGTGTACGCTTACTGCTTAGCACATACGTCTATTTTTACCCACGTTCAGAAACAAATGATTGCCAAAGTTATAAATCATGATATTGTTCTAAAATTTGTAAACACAAAAATAGCAGAATTTGCATGTCTTCATTTTGGTGATAATAAACACAGTTATTTGCCTTTTTGCATACATTGGTGATTCCATCTACGAGCATTTTTCTTGGCGAATTGTGATCGAAGTCGAAACCATGTAAGGAAGCTGTACTTATGTAGTTTTACTGACAGGAGCGTAGCCATTTGTTTTGCTTTGTCAATTTCAATAAATTATCATTATTGATTTATTTAGAAATCTATAGTTATTGCAGTCAGTATAAATGCCGAAAGATGCGTGAGCAAACGTGCGGCCTGACCTAGCCATTAATTATTGTGTCAGGAATAAGTAACTTGATTAGTTTGAGTAATGCAATTGGCGAAAGGAATTAACAATATCCTTTTTACTTCAATTATTTTCTTATTTGAAGGCTGAAGAAGAGTATAATCAAGCAAAGAATGCATACCTTCAACTTCATTCCGATCTTTACGAGGAGCTGCCAGCCCTATATGACAGGTTCGATCATTCAACATTTCCTAAGTAGTCGTTTAGCTCCCATCCTTCCATGCAAAATTGAATTGGCGATGTTGTACAAATTTTATAATCTTTATTAAGACACTCAGAGCATGGATTATGGTCTCCATTACTTGCATCTTTTTTTAGTTTTTCTACTGAAAAAACACGCGAGTGGGTTCTGCCTCGTAGATATGAATCACTTGCATGCCCGCGTGCTTATTTAGTTATGCTATGCAAATTTTTGGATGATTAATCACTGTAAAAACAAAAGATATTTAAAGAAATGAATAATAAGAATGTTCTGAAATTTGCCTAGTGCACGTGTGACTAAACTTGCAGATTGCATGGCTACGCTGCTGCAATGAATTATTTGAGTCCATGCACACAAGTTCAAAAAAACTGTTTTGTCGCTAATGGAATTTTGCACTTATTTTTGTAGAGATTTTGGTTTTACGTATATTGTGCGGGGATAGTTTATTATCCCGAACCCAGGGCCGACCCTAAAACGTTAATTGGGTGGTGGTATTGGGTGTGTGGTTTGTTCATACATTCTTTTGAAAACAATTCACTGAGGGAATTTAGCAATCATACGTTCAAAAGAAAACAGTCGGGCACATCTGAATATATGCATAAACACCTCCCCCTCCCAATTACGTTTGAGGAAAGGCTCTGCCCGAACCTTTTGTTAAATGTATTTATTTGTAAATCGTATCATCGTTGATGTTTTCTTTTTAGTCGTATTTCTTTCTATATTTCTTCATTTCAATCCATATTCACGGCTGAAGGAGTATTTCATCGGGAGATGACAAAGGTAGATATTTTTGGTATATTTCTTTATGGTGGAGGGTAGCAATTTAAACTGTGAGCACAGAAATGTCGAGCTCTTTACATTTGCATAAAGATGTCTTATAAATGGCGCACAAGCAAATTTAAACATGCCCTCATCTTTATTTGTATGTGTATAACATGGATAATTGTAAAAAGTGGTTATGTGTTACAAAGAGCTCTATTGTGGTGTGATTTTCTGCAAAGGTATAAAAATTTTGGAATAGATGTGGGTTTTTGAGCAAGGGAGGAGAATATTTTAAATGAACTAAGGCAATATTGTTATATAATTAAGCAAGTTACAGTTGGTCATCTACTGCAATAAAATGCATGATGTATGCATGGTTTTCATTTTAATGTTTCTCGTAAGGCTTCCATTCTAATCCTAAGATTTCGATTATACTTTTTTAAAGATGAAAACAGAGATGAATGATCTTTTGGATGTATTAGCAAAGGAAACTTCGGATGGACTCTACTCAACACGTCGACCATTAAGTGTTGTTAGGTAAATTACCACGCGTTAGGGAAATTTCTTTGATGGTTGAATTTAAGGATCAAGTCGTTTAGATCAATACATTAATATTCCTCTTTGATAAAAGTGCTGAAAGATATACATGGTGTCTTCCCCTCTCACCCCAAAGAAAAAATGTAGAACCTATACAAATATTTATGTATGCATTAAAATGAAATCTACAATAGCTATTTGTTCCACCTGATTAACTTAGTTTCACACTACTTTGTCCATGTTTATTACAACTAATGGAAAATATGATTACGTTTTTCATTATTTTTACAAGTCTTTTGCGTGATAAATTTGTGATAAAAATCAGGGTACGATATTACTTTGGATGATTAATCACTGCTTTTTTGGCATTTCACTTGTCTTCGTTATTTGTCACAGTTTGTCATCTCGGGCATCAAATTTCTTCGACTATATTATCAACACCATGTGTTTTATTGACTCCAGTGTGGCTGAAGAGAGTTTGCGACTGAGCAATAAATATCTATGCCTGACAATTATTTTTTATATACTCAGGAAACATGCAGACCTTAATTTATGCACAAGTTTTGCTAATGTGTTCTTACATGCAGGCGACATCTGAAAGGTGTTCCTTCTCAATTTTTAAGCCATTATTAACTGAGAGCAAAGTCTTTACGTAGACTTATTGAACCGAAGCTTTTTTGTACAAACCAAGCCCGTAGGGCTTGGTTTGTACAAAAAGACAGAGCTCAGTAAATTTTTCAGTAAAGACCAAGCCAGCAAGGTCAATAAAAGGTTTATTCTATGGCATTATTTGACCTGAAACGAACCTTTCCTTTTTTATCGTCCTCGCTGTTTTTTTCCGGTTGGCTTTCACGTCTTTAGTTTTGGTCAGTAAAAAATAAATTGTTTGAAATTGTGTCGTCTGGATAATTAAACCCACTTTTCGAGTGTTTTTATTTCGACTCACATTCCTACATGGTTTTTTGTTTCGTGTTTTTTTTTTCGTTTTGCTGTTTGCTCTTCAACCAGTTAATCGTTTGAGTGTATATCTGTGATAGAACAGAAAAGTCACATGAAAAATCAACTTGTTTAGGAAGTTCCTCCCAGCAAATTAAGTTCATCCAATGAATTTCCTTATTATAAACTTCTTTCACGTGTAAGGCTTGTTCTTATACTGTGTTGGATCTCATTACAGTCACTTTAGTAACAATGTTTCGTTAAAACGATTTATTTTTCTTTCTGTTTTTATCTCAAAGCAATGCGTCATCTGATGGTGACAGCTCGTCGGAAAGTAAACCGTCGAAACTTGAACTTACAGATGAAAATTCTGAAAATGAGACATCAGAAAATGATGAAGGTACATAAATTTCACATTGATCTTTATCAGTACATGACACGAAAATCATAATTTTTTATCATATTTTTTTGGATAGTAAACCATTTTTGAATTTTATTTTGCTATGCAAGGATCTAATGGTATTTCTATGTTGTAGCAGCCTAGGAACGCACCAAGTGCTTGCTGTTTTGATTGACAATGACCTTTTTTTGCGTGTCAGTTTTTGGGCTTTAAATAAATGTCAGGTCATTAAAACGAACATCCTTCTTTATTACAGTCCACGATGTAGTTGGTCATTCAAATGATGAACATACTGAAAAGGAGAAATTGAAACGTAATCCACCTCCTCGACCTCCTCCTGTTGAGAAAAAAGACCACGTTGACGAAACTGTTTCGAGCAGAAAAACATCTGACGATGCTGAAAAGTGCGACAGCAATGATTCTATAGATACAATAAAGGTAAGGGAGACTAGACTTATTGAATGTAAATTTACGCTAAAAAAACCTGAAAAACTTTTTTGATTGTATATTGTTTATCTGCCCGAAAAAAGATAATGGCGAATTTAATTATTTCAAAGGCGTTACTAAAATAGACGTGCCAATGTCTTTACTTTGTATCAACATTAGGATTTGCTTTCAACACATTCCTTTCTCTCATAGGATTGGTGTATTTGATTTTTGAATTATTTGAATTGAGCTTTTTACCTTTCGTCATGGCGAAAAATATTTTGTAATAGTATAGTGGTAAGGAGTATGATGAAACATTTTAAAGCCATGTCGCTAGTTTTATGTTTTGTATTGTTAGTTTGCGAAAGCGAACTGTTTCTGAGAAAAGTTTTTAGATATTCTAGCAACATCATATTTTATAGCCAGTTTGTATGAGTAAAGTCATTTCTTGATGTTGTGATAGGGAATTGCAGAGATGTAGGGATTTTTTGTGAACTGTCATTTTTTGTGAACTGTATTTATAGATCTGTATGTTGTGCTGTATAGATGTGCTAAATGTTGCATTAGTTTCCACTAATATCACTTGTCAGTTAAAATACACTATTATGTTTTTTGGCAATACGAAATTTCCAAAACACGAAATGATGATTGTGTTGCGGTACTACAGTAGAACCTGTATTAAGCTGTCACGCTTGGGGATTTCTCGTGTGACCGTTAACTACAGGTTGACCGCTTAATACAGGTCTTCAGGAAATCACCTGGCGGTCAACATGTAATATTTCACACATCTAAAGTTAAACCAATCGGTATTGCTCTTTAACATACATGCTAAATAACAACATTTTATAAAGCATTTTTTTCTAAGTTTGAACTAGTAATTAAAAATAGTATACATAAAAATGTCACGGCTCAAACTGCTGAAAAATAATCAATGTCATGCGTGTCGACAGAGAAGGTGGTTATAACTTATAAATTCCGTGTGTATATCCCTTTCTTGGAGATATGTTTTCTTGTCAATGGCTGAAGGGACGTAAGAAAAGTTTGAATTGCTGGTGTAATTTGTCCACACAAACAGAAAATATTGTTGGCTCTTTTGAGTCATTACGGAAGATAAATACAATATAAAAACATGTATACAAGTGACATGTTCCAGAGTATATATTTTATTATATATTTTATTATGGAGTGTATTTACTTAACCTGACCGTTTTAGTACAGTTTCAAAACAATGAAAAATTAAATTTGGGACATTGGAATAGGTGACCTCGTCCGCTTAATTTAGGTGATCGTTTAATAAAGGTCACTTTAATAATATTTATATTTATACTATGAAATTTTCGGGACTTTGCTATATGGCCGCTTAACACAGGGTGACCGCTTAATACGGTGCCGCTTAATACAGGTTCTACTGTATATTTATTTACTTGGTCTGTGGTGTTGTATCACGTGATTAATTACACATCGTACTATACAACAGCCTACTTACAAAAACAGTATAAGTATCAAATTTCTTATTAACATTCTCAATTTTTGTCTGTGTGTATTGTTGTTGATGACAGGATATCCAAGGTTTACATGAGACGAAATTTGAAGCTTCAAATGAAGATAAATCAACTGAAATCGCTACGGAAACCGTAGAAGAAGACAATAGTGTGAATGATACGAACAAAGATGAAGTAGATGGGAAGCAAGAAGTTAAGGGTGAGGATAATGTCCAAGAAGAAAGCAACGCTGGAGAAAAGGATAAACCCGATGAAACAGATGGCATAAGAGACGTCGATAAAGAGAAGGGTACTGACGACGTAAACGAGGATATGAATAAGACATCTATCGATCATAGCTCGTTGCCATATTTGTATAAGGTGAGAAAGTCTTAGTTTTAATGTTAGTTTTAAATATGATGCAGTGAAAATTTTTTTCTCCGTGATTGGGATTAGGAATGAGCTCGTGGCAAAATTTTAACTTTAGGACCTCGCTTGGACGAATCATCTGAAACACTACCCTGGTGGTGATTAAATTGCTCCTTTTTTAATTTTTTGTGTTTATGGAGAAAAAGACAGTCAACTTAATAGAAGTAGCTAATAATACTAAATTTTCATTTAGCTTGTTTCAAAACTTTTAAACTGCTCCAAATCTGAATGGCCTTAAAGTGATTCCAATATAAAACGTTATAACTAAACAAGTTTATTGACAAATCTTTTACTCTTTGTCATTGTTGAAACGTGTAATACATACTTCAAGAAATAGTCTTGACATGATTGAACTGATGCAATCTGTAGTTTTTGCAATAAAAAGACTTGCTCAATGCCGTACTTATACCTCCGTTACTTACAATATGAATTTTCATGGCAGTTGGTCTAAAATTTATTTTTTGAAAATATACGTGCGGCCATTCTCAGTTTAGTCCGAAGAGCCGATATTCACTCATCCAATGCATTCAAGAATTCGTAACTTTTTTAACCGCGATTCATGTCGTAGATTTTGGAAATGCTTTCTTAGCTATGTGGGTTGTGAATTTCAAATGGTAAAAATTAAGATTGTACACCATCTATATTGCTGCTCGGTCTGCCTTAGTTGTTTTAATACCTACACGCTACTGTGGTCTTCATACCTTATTTGAATGGTAAATGGTGATGTATTTAAATTATTTCAGGTAGAGGTGACCCATCCTTACACTGGTGAGGACGATGATGAACTTACACTTGAAAAAGGAGATATTATTCAAGTAATACCTTATAGCGAGTCAGATGATCCGGTACGTAAGACTGGGTACGAACGAGGACTGATTTACTTACATTAGAAATCATAACTGGCTGCTCTCATTATTATGTTATCAGGCTTAGTATCCTTATTTACGAGGTTGATATATTATTACGTCAGCCTTGTGTAACGCAGACAACTGTATCAAGTATGTTATTGGTTTGTATCTATAGATCAAAGGTGAAAAAACACTGATGCATCAAAATATATGTGACTTTGGTGCATCATGCAGTAGATCGGTAGCTAAATCATTATAGTTTCTAAAATATAACACCAAATGATTGCAGCAAAACTGGCTTAGAAAAAATCGTACATTTAAAACAACCTAACTGCTGATAAATCATTGTAAAATTTAATCTTGATTTCTACATCGTATTTATCGTGGCCTAAGTTGTACTAAACGCGATTTAGCTTGTACGCCAGCAAACTTGTTTTTAATGATGTTTTAATGATTACTCGTGTCTTGTAATATGGATGGATTGCACATTTGATTCTGCATAATGATGTTGGTGTAATTATGGCTTCAAGTGTTTCAACCACAATTTCTTATTTGTTGTCAATGTTAATGTTCATCTTGCTTTTAGTCTTGTTTCGAAAAGCTTCTTAAAAAGCCATCAAAAGATGAAGAACAATATTATTTTTACTAATATATTCCCCTCGACATTCTTGTATAGATAAAGTTTTTATTCTAAATACAATATTTTGCAAAAACCAAACATACATCTCAATTAAATTTTGCATTATTCACAATTCTTGTGATAGATGCATGTTTTTTTATTGTCTAGGATGATGGATGGTTGCTTGGAAGATTGGAAAGTACTGGTGAGAAGGGTGTTTTCCCTGAAAACTTTACGAAACGATTGGAAAAATGAAATTGCTTTTCTTGTGAACTTGTAACCATTGAATGCTTCACATATCTGTGATTTTGGATTATTTAAAGACGAAATGTCGTATAGTTTATTAAAAAAATATTGCATTTTCATGGTCTTAGCGATTAAATTTACGAAAATTGCGTCAAACAATGCAAGCAATACTGTTTTTCTTTCAATAAAGCAATTTTTAAGGTATAATTTTGTCATTTTGAACAGTAAGGCCATGGATATGAATTTTTCTCTGTTGAAATGTATACGTGCACGTATGTATGAGCTTGTATGTTTTGTATTTTTTGAACATTACATTTATTTAATGTTGCCAATAGTCGCAAGTGCATGTTTTTAGAAAAAAGATAAAATTTTCATAAATTCTGTGATGTTAACTGGTAGATTTTTCAAATTAATAAAATTTTAAAAAAATTTGAACATTAAATGAGTTCTGCTGTATGCTAAAGGTTCCCACTATTGTTAAGTAGAAAGTTTTGTTTACATGGCATGGCTTTAAAGATGTGGCGAGAATGTTGGAGTAGTTGCCGTTCATATATCAACACTTGATTTTCAATTAATGGGATCTAAAATATTTCTTTTTGTGTTTACGATGGACATGAAACACGTTTAGCATCAAGATTGTTGCTACACGATTTAACGCGGAGAAATTTGGATAAGCCAAATACCAACTATAACCAAAATTCTATAACAAATATTCTACACATGTTCACCCTATCTCTTTTTTCAACAGAATTTATTGATCGACTCCATCAAATACCCTTATGTCGATAAACACCTGGTTGGACATTATGTGTGTTATCTGTGTTATTGGATATTGTCTTAACTGTTTTTAAATCGCTCCACTTTTGAAATAGCAGGAAATTTTCGTCTCAAAGTGCCTATACGATGTATGATTTTTATTGTAAGGACTTCTAAAACATTAACAGACTTTCTTTTCAATGATTATGTTCCCATGCTTACTTAATGTTTTGTCTTGATACACCTATGGTTGATATGCAACATTCTTCTTGTATATTATGTAATTTTGACCAGAGAAAAATCTAATTCAGCAGAAATGCATTTTTCATCTGAGTTTTTATTAATACGTGAAAGTGTCGAAGAATTCAATATCAATTGCGTTCATTGGCAATTTGAATTGAACAAAACTACACAACCCGTCGGTCCAAAAACAGTCCTGTGTAAACGGAAGTAATTCTGCGTTCAATTAATCAGCTGAGTGAATGACTTAACATACTCTTCGTCAAAACGTTTAAAATTTAAATTATTAGATTTATCCAAAAAGTGTTTTATTTGAAGTGGAAACGACATGAAATTTGTGAGATTTCTTGAGTTTGTTACTATTATTATGTGTTTGGGCACTTAGCGCAATTTAAACAGAAGCACCCGCCAGCACAAAGACGTGACTTATTGATAGCGTACAACTGAAATGTATTACAAAGAAAGGATGAGACTGATCGAACTTTTTTTGTTGATTGGAATTTGGGGGTTTCGTTATTGATATGTTTTTATAAGGTTTTATTATAGATGTCTTCTACATTTTCAATGTACCTTAAATATACATCATTTGAGCTTCTAAATGCATGGCTACCCACATGTACACTTATGTGTACCTATTTTTGATGCATGTACTACAATGCTAGAATTAACGTCTATGTTTGTGAAAAATTCAGTTTTCGTTTTTTAGGATGAAAAAGGCCTGCTTTTATGCGTGCAATTAGCAAAATATACTGAAACGTCAGGGCCTGATAAACATACGACAAAATAGTTACTAATAAAATCTTGTGCTTACAAAGGTTTAATTTCTGCATTTTTTACTCTTCCAAAAGTTTGTAAAGATTTATTTTATTAATGTAATTTGTGTTTGACAAGCTGATATGAGCTTGTATGGTATGTTGATCAGAAAATCTTTCACCCGAAGAGCTCTAATATATTACAACAAAATATTGTTTGTAAACCTACAGTAGAGTTGTTCAGCATTAAATTGCCGCCCCTTTGATCTTTTAGTACAAAGAATTGATTTTATTTTTCTTCAAATGCGGTTATGGCATTATCCCCCAATCTCTGAAATCTCGTGGTTTGCAATTGTCAACCAAAAGTCCATCCTTATGTACTCTTCCTTCAGAAATTGCCAAGCACACGTTACACCAAAGTCCAAATTTATCATTCCAGTATTTCCCAATAGCTGTCTCATCAATTGAACCAAGACCTTTGAACTTCCACTCAAGAAATTTTTCGTATTCCTTTTTGTCATTCATTAAAAACTTTAACGAGTTGGCCAAATCTTCGGGAGATTCAAAGTCTCGTACATTTATTATAGCTTTTTCTAAATTTCCAGGCAAAAACTCGTAAATTTTATCTGTACTCATAACAACTGGAACAGCACCAGCATTTAAAGCGTGAAGAATTTGATCATCAACAAAATAATCGCAATCTTCGTTGAAAAATACTATCACAAATTTATAAAACTTCTCTAGCTCTTCCTTTTTTTTCTTAAAATTACCTTGGTAGCGAAATGGTAAACCGTCTTTATTGTGAACGCAGCCCCCGTAAGAGTCCACGTGTATATACTTCATAAGTTCTTTCAAGTAGGCAGTTCTAACTGGTTCGCAGTTTGAAAATGCAGCCATAACTCCTCCATACTTTTTTTCAAATTCTATTGGTGGATCAAGACTTGGCTTTGTAAACAGGGGACAGGGAATATCCGAGTCCAATCGATAGCTTGAAAATAGTTGAAACTGCGACATGTACTCTGAGTTTGATAAAACTGGCACTGAAATTGGGTTTTCTTGAGTCCAGAGAAGCCAAGGCTTGTTCTTTATTGGAGGTAAGGGATGCGAATCCATAGCATGAACAATAAAGCCTTCAGCTTCATTAATACGCGAACGATTAATTGTAACTTCACACGCGATCGGGCATTGTCCTTTTTCGTTTCCTTTTTCCCAAACACCTTCGTCCTTTTTTGCTGGTGTGCCAAATATGGTAGACCAAAACAACAAAACTATCTTGGGATTTTGTAATATTACTTCAGTTGTTTCAATTTTAATTCTTTACTTTCTCGTGTTGTGTTGAATATGCTTCTGATCAGATGGCCAGTGTTATCGATTTTGAAGCTTTTACGAAAATGTCGCAGCTCCCCAAACATGGCAAACAGAAAAAAAATAGCAACAAAGATGAAAATAAGACGCTTTGATCTCATGTTAATCTATCAAAAACGAAAAATTTTGGTTAGCTGTTTTGCATCATTGTAACTTATAAGCATAGCAGCTACGCAACTGATTCTTAGCTAGCTAAAAGAAAACTAATGTGGTTTTTTTCATGTTAAGGTTATGATGTTGAATAATCACTACCAAAACCTGCTAAAACTAATGCAGGATCTTATTTATCTATTACACACTGAAATTTGTTTCAGTTTTACCAATTTTTTCAAAAAACCTTATATTCTTAAGCCAAAAAAGATCTGTCTTGTTTGTGTAAAGGTACGTGTGATAGTGAGGTAGTATTAGTACACAGGTACAAAACATTTTGAGGAAAAAAATATTTGAAAGAGGTCATAATTTATTAGATACAATGACAAAATCCAGTAATTTCGTGTGGCATGCACAAGAGAAAAGATCTCGAAAATCCATTTTTGTAAAAACATTAATAAGTACATAATCTATTGTAAAAAACGGCATTTCCGTAAATTCGACTTCTGCTACTATATTATGATAAAAATACATTATGTTGTAATACATTATCGTGAAATGTAATATGATGAAATCAAAACACAATAAAAGTAGCGTGTGGAGTGTTTTCATTACAAAAGCTATAAAGCTATCGTTTCCAACTATACAGGCTTTAAATTTGATTATTTGTAAATTTTACTCGCTCAGAGTATAAAATCCCATGGTGGAAGATATGATTCACCATAGTTTTAAAAACGTTCCACGCTACTGTTTGATACGCAAATTACCTATATTTGACTGTTTTTGACAGGCATTCACATAAAACATGACAAAGTTTTGGAAAAATATGATACTTGAAGAAACTTTATAAATGTATTCATCCTACTTTTAAGAGGTTGCCTGTAAGATATTTATTATTTGCTAAGCTTTTTACCTCCGCCCCATAAATATGGATCCAAAATTTTCTTGTCATACAGTTTCTTAGTGAAAACATGGATTACAACAACAGCTTCTAAGAATTTTTTGTTCTAGTTGTAGAAAAATTTTGATAATAGCAATGAACCTTTAGTTACACAAGTTGTCACATCACTAAAAGCAAATCGCGAGATTTGATTTATGGTAAGCATGCCCGATTTTATCGCACGTCACAGTGCAAAATAAGAATTTCAGATTAATTGATGATAACTGTGAGGAAAACGAAGAGGGGCTGTGTGAAATTGTCTATAACGATTAATTCTCACTTTTCATTAAACTTAAGAGATGAAAACATGAGCATTCAATATAATCATCATGCCCTACCTTTACAGTTCGAACTTGAAATACTTACAAAGTACGAGTGAATGAGCGCGAAGAAATAGTTATATGTCACATTGAAAAGATCTTGACTCGCAGTTGCATCACAAAAATGTAAACCGACAACAGTTTTGTACACATGGTTTGTACACATGCACGGATTTCTTTTGAAAAGTGCTGGCATATTTGCATTGCTAAATTAGCATAACAAACGTTGTCAATAGCGAAATGAGACTGCTGTGAAAAATGCACACATTGATTGAGGTATCGGCATAGGCAGCCCACAACTACGGGTTTTATATTATTAATATAAACGAATAAAGAATTTGTCTCGCATTGATCGCTCAATCTCGCATGTCATCTCGCATGTCTTATCGGTTTATTAATTACCCAAGGTAGGCAACTAAAGTCATAGGCGGCCCAATAAATCACTTAGCGAGGTAAATTGTATAAACAAACGATAACTCGCCCCATTTCCTTGTAACAGACCGTGCGCCGCAAACTTTGTATTAATGGTTATATATACAATATATCAATTAATACCATTGAACTATAAATAGATGGAAGGCTTTGTCAGTCGATGTTTTGATGGCAGTAGTGCCCAGTCTTTCCACGCAATGTAAACACAAGGTCAATAGAAGCAAACGAATAAATAACTTGTACGAACTAAGAAGCTCCGAAAACAAAACACAAATCCTTTTTGTTTTTATTTGGCAAACGAAACTTTTCAAATGAAACTTAACATCAAGTATACACAACTTTTCCACAGTTAAATTTTTGTAAAGGAAGTCATAGCCAACCATAGCTAGAAGGCAACTTGCTAGAGTTATTTGTTTTACATGAGAAAAAATTAAACTCAAAAACTAAAACGTTGTTGTTCCAAAGTAACAACTATTATGTGCGAGATACTTACGAACTTCATAAAATATAAAAAAGCAAATAAAATTTTAAACAAACACCAGTTTTGGAAATTTATTTTTACCCAAAACCATTATTATTAGTTCAACGTACAAATTTAGAAAAAAATACAATTCTTAGTACGAACTTACGCGAGATTTGGTTTTAAAAGATAAATTAAACTATATCCATCACATGTTAGCTTTGTGAAAAATATACATACATGCTACTTTATTTCGAACATCATTTTTTACCGAAACTAATGGTTTCTGTAAATAGGTTTACATAAAAATCCCGAAATATTCCAAGGAGAAACTCATGTTAATTATTGGATACATCCAGTTGAATTCTTTCGAAATTTAACAAATAAATAACATTTAACCGTTGTCTATACAGTTAGAGATACACGGGTATGATTAAAAAGTGGCCACGAGCCGCCGGTTATTTTCTTTTCTTTTTGCTCAAATACGTCAACTGCCTCAACCAGGTCTTTGTGAATATCTTTATTTTCTCTTTCAGGGAGGTACTCCGATGAATTTTCAAATATATCCGCTATTTGTTTGTTTTAATAAACATGAAATTTTCCGTGACGTCAATTCCGTGCGTGTGTCTTCTTATAAATCATAGCTCTCCACCAATGAAATTGCTGAAATTTTTCTGATAATTATATAAAAACTAGTACTTGATACAATGTTTCCGATGTGTATAAAATGAGCAATGTCATTGTTTTTCACCATTTCCACTGTTGATATTTTCCATTTCAAAACACGTATTCAATAGAAAGCATCATAATTGACTGAATAAAAATCAAGCCCCACGTGCTTTAACAAATCTCGCGTAACGTGTAGCTTAGCGTGTGTCATACACGTAAATTGACCTCCAGACACGCAATTATTTGGCTTTTCTATTTGGGGTCACCATATAAGCCCCTTCGTCATCTTTTTTGAATTTTTGTCGTTCCTTCATTCGTTAAAAGTTTGCTTATCAAGTCAAAGAATGACTGAAGTTTGTTTATGAAATATTTAACCAATCAAGGAACGATAAAAATTCAAAAAAGATGACGACGGGACTGATATGGTGACACCAGCATAGGTTTCCAAATAAAATGATAGAAAGGCCAAAAACGCTTGCCTTTTTCACATGCTTCAGAAAGGATTTGAATCTTGAAAATTGGTAAGATTGTAGTAATTTCATCCGTGTTCAATTGGCTGTAGTTTTTGTTTCATTATTGCTGTTTGTTTATAGTTTTTTTCATGAGTTTTTAGAGTGTTTATGTTAAAGGTTAGTGATTTGTTTTTTTCAGTTGCCTACCTTGGGTAATTAATAAACCGATAAGACTAAACGTTACACGAACGTCGCGCGAGATTGACGTGCGAGATTGAGCGATCAATGCGAGACAAATTCTTTATCCATTTATATTAATAATGAAAAAATCCGTAGTTGTGTGCTGCCTATCGTAGCGGCAAAAGTAAGACAAAATAACAATTTAGAACATTCTGGAACACAACACTCTTTTCTGGAACATTCGACAATGCTAGTTGCTGCTTGCAGTTGTCCATGAAATGACTGAGGCAACAAAGATGTAAAGCGTGAGGAAAGCTATATTTCAACGCTCTGTACCATCCGTTCTAAATGTCAGTAGCTCTCGTGCTTCTTTATTTAAACTTATATTCTTGGTAAAGAAGTGGTTGTATGCATCGAATGTCTTCTTCTGACTTAAAAGTAACGGATCTATTACAGTTGGATGAGTACTAGCAACACGTACTAGATCACTTTTATATTGAAGAATGTTGTGAAAGTAACATTAAATTTTCCAAGGTTGAAGGTTGGATCAACACCAAATATGGAACTGTTTGCTGGGTCATTGCAAAAAATTTCCATATCTAACAATTGCTAGTCCTATCCGAGAATACACCTTAGTTCAGGGGCACCCACAGCTTCACGGATAAACAGTTCTTTATCTTGTTGCAGTTGTTGTCGCTTGCACTGTTCAAGAAGAATGACCAACGAATTTATTTTCTTGAAGTTTCTTCAAGTTGAATTAAAACGCCGTAAATATTTTGCTTGCACATGATTTCTTGGTAAGTCGCTATGAGAACGTGCATTTATGATGCCGCCCTTTTCTTTCCATTATAAATTGAATGTAAAAAAAAAGTAATGTGCAAAAAACGAATTGATGTTAATAAATTGCATTGCAAAACGTCAATATCAAACAGCTCGTAACGATTTCTTTATTTTTTTGTGTTTTGATATACAGACATTATTTCACAGCTATTAAGAACGAGAAATTTAGTAAAAAAGGTGCTGGATCTGCCATTAATTTTAAACGGAGACGATCCTAAAACCTCAATTGTGAAGGAGGGGTGGAGGGGCAGTGTTTACTCATATATTCAGATGTGCCCAACTGATTTCTTCTAAAAGTATGATTTCTTAATACCTTCAGTGAGTGGCTTTCAAAAGAATCAGACAGGCAAAACTGACCGAATGAATAATTCCCCCCCCCCAGATAACGTTCGAAGGACGGCCCTGAATTTTACTATTATATGATTACTTTGCATATCACATAATTTTTAAGCACGAAGATACTTTATTGCTGTAGCACCCAGTGAATAAGCGGTAATATGTGTATCTGCAGATGGCGGTTCTAAAACCTGCATTTAAAAGCATAGAAAAAGAAAATTCACTGGGGGGTCATTGCCGTTTTCTCCCTCATCAATTTCGATTTCTAATTGGTCAGTCCCAGTATTTGGAATACTCATTAATAAAAATTCAAGCTACGTGTAAGAGGAGTGATTAGATTATTGTCTACAAAAGAAAATTTTTTAATTAAACGCTTATTTTAAGAATAATTTTTTCCTGCATTGAGGTGGCCAAATCAGATGTTTTCATAATGGCCAGTGATTGTAGACACGAGATTGTAATTCCAACGCTTTCAATTCTTTCCATAGCCAAGAACCGGCGGATTGAGTACCTGATTGCTTTTCTCCATCTTCTAAAAACTTTACAATTGCAGTATCTTTATCACCAGCTGAAGACGGCACAGAACGCGTGTCAACCACAAACAACTTTCCCTGTTTTGAACCGAGAAGAATGGTGTTTGGCTTACACGTGTAAAGTGCAACGGAACCTATTGGATTTTTCATTTTTTCGACACCCTCTCTGAGACTGGATTTTCCCTGCTCGGTCAAGGCACCATGTGCAAAGGGTAGTTCCTCCAAAAATTCATAGCTCTTGGCAAAATCTCATTACTCTTGAGAATTTCATAGGCCTCAAGAACATCGCAACATTTCGAAACATCCCGACAACTGTTAATTTCCCGTGGAAATCTTTCAATGATATCTTCTGACAGTTGTGCGATTTCAGAACTTTATCATTTTCCATAATTTCCGAGATGTCCACTGAAATACGAGCAACAGCAGCAACAAATTTATCCACCTCTTCAATGAATGTCGACTGACGTACTCGGAGATGGAATTCTTCTGGCAAGTTAACTTCGTCTGGCGTGGTACATGTACTTTGTTGAATCGATCCAACGCCCAGAACAGAATACGTACAAATGTCGTATACTTCGACAAGTTTTGCCAATCACCATTTTGCATTTAATTCAAATGGACGTTTTAACCTGGGATTTATTAGACTAAAAACAACCTATCCGTATGCCCAAATGTCGGCTTTTTTCATGTCTTCAAGTGATGCCGAGCGTAAATGCCAGCTATTACATAAAAGTCCAGCGCCATAAATACGGGTGTTCCTCTGTTAACGTTTTTTGTGCTTGTTGAAATTACTGTGTTGGTAATAATTTCATACGACCTGCTTCACCAAAGTCTGTTAACTTAAATATTAGAACACTCTTCCTCTCTTCCTCGATTTTCTCGGGATCATTCAAATGACTGTAGTGCTGGTTGGACACCAAGTTGTTGACAGGTTTCAAGTCTCTATGCACAATACCGTTTTCATGAAGAAACTGCAAACCTGACGCAATATCTTTGGTTGCGCATGATGAAACATTTCTTTGGAGATTTGAGAGCAGTCAGTGTGATCAAATCGTCGTAACAATTAAAGCTTGCAAAGAGTTCACTCTTTCTTCAAATCAAAGCAAATGTATTCGACGAGTAAGGCATATCAATCCGAACACACGCCCTTTAAAGTCACAATGTTTTGATGCTTCAAACCATTAAGTAATTTCACTTCCTTGGTACACTTGCGCTCGGTGTCGATGTCTTCATCAAAATACTTTTTCACAACGACCTTATCATCATTATACGGCAGCTCTGCCGTGAATATTGTCAAAAATCCCCCACGACCTATTTCATCCTTGTTTCTTATTCTCAATTCGTCAAAATAAAAAGATGGTACGCTATTTAAACCACCTTAAAACGCTTTCATTTTACTATTTTTAATGCTTTTTAAGCAAATCGTTTAAAGATCGCACATACCATTGTGAATGGTAAAAGTAAAAAGTTAATAGTTCTTTTCAAGCACCCGAATTGACATTCCTGTTAGTCAAACTGCATAACTTGAATGCACACGAAAAATGAATAACCAACTTTTATAAAGCGTGTTTAAATCAGTGAACCAGGCGTGATTGTCAGAATTCTGTTTTGCTACTTCAGTTTTTGACAAACAGCACTTGATGAAAAGACGTAAGCACACTAGCTATTTGCATGTCAATCATTGATGTCAATACTAAAATATGTCATTCTACTATTATGAAAGATTATGTGTTCGCATCTAACAAAATATACATCAAAAAACACAGTAGAAATTGTTTTAAGCGGTTGCCTTTGTGGATTTCTCGTGTAACTGCTTAATACTGGTTGACTGCTTAATACAGGTCTTCAGGAAAATCACCACACGGTCTACATGTAACATTTAATACAGCTTAAGATGAACCAATCGGTATTGTTCTTCAACAAACATGCCAAATAACCCACAACATAAAACAATTAATTTTTCTTAGTTTATAAACTAGAAAATAGAAAATATTATATATAAAAATGTCACGGCTCATACTGCTGAAAAATAATCAACGGAAAGCATGTCAACAGAGAAGGTGGATGTAACTTGAAATTTTCGAGCGAATATCCCTTTCTTGGAGATACCTTTCTTGTCAGTGGCCGAAGGAAAGTTAACGTAAGAAAAAATAAAACTGCTGTTTTAATACGTCAACACAAACAGATCATACTGTTGACAGTTTTGAGTGTTACTGAAGTTAAATGCAATATAAGACTGATATTTTCCAGGATAAACAGTTATTTAAATATTTTATTATATTTAGCTCGTAGAAAATACGATGTAATATATATCAGCACTTTACACTCGCAAGATGTATTATAAGAGACTATACATAATATAAATCCTAGGGTTTATATTATGTATAATCTCTCTGATGATGGCTTTGGAATAAAATGTATTATGAGTTTCAAGAGGAGTGTTGTCGTGCATTGGATTATAAACTATAGTAGCTCTAGAAAATTAACTTTCAAGTCGTGGTAATTAAAGCGTGTAAATTGTACTAATAATCTATTTAGTTTGTAAAATAAGACATTAGATCAAGTTATACGTATTTGTATCTATTACAGTGTACTGTTGAAATAGATCAAATAACTCAAGGGAATTTATACCAAAGAAAAACTTTTCTTAAGGACAGGAGTTATTAATATAGTTGAGTGTCTCAATCTAACAACAAACATCTTGGTATATAAATAATTTTGGAATGGGAAACTGTTGCTTGTTGGTATAATGATATTACAGTAGAATTATTCCTGATTTCAACAATAAAGTACTCTAAAGTAAATGCAATATATAAATATATGGATAACATCAACACACGAATCATAACATAAAGCAAAGGTGGCAATCTTAGTATTGACAACAGAGAACGTGTCTGCTACCACCCAATTTTGACTCCGTGAGAAAAATCAATAATGTGCATACATAGAAATAGCAACATTCAGTGAATTCAGTATTAATGTCATTAAAATTTGCTCTGCAACATTTAAATACACTCATGTTTGCACAATGTCTTTGGCAGAGAGCTTATATGCTAACTATTCACACGGAAAACAAATTTTTGCAAAGCATTTTTGCGTGATATTGTGGTTTTACTTTGCAACAATTTGGCACTTGGATCAATTTAAACAAGTGTACATAATGTTGATGTAAAATGTTTTTGCTGTTTTTGCGAAACATCACCACTTGAATGGAAATGAAATTTCAAGGAGATCCGTGTTTCATCCCCTCATCTGTGTTTTATCCCTCCATCTGTGTAGCAGAAAAGTCTAATAAATTCTTGAAGCCAAATTTTACACCCAGACACGTGGGATTACACTAAGAAACGCTTGTGAAGTCAATCAATTTTCAGAATCTCGGAACACTACACGCGTGTCTGGGTGTGATTTCGCGTGCCTGATGTAAGATTTGTCTTCAATTTTATTCTTCTGAAAGCGTTCCATGTATTTTAGTTCAATGGTTTTATCCCGTCATCCGTATTTTATCCGTTATCCGTGTTTTATCCCCTCATCCGTATCCGTATCGGTGCCATTCGTATCATTGAGTTCTATAAGACCTGGAGGGGAAACGTCAACCAAATTACTATAAATTATTAGCGCGCGGCCGCGTGGTCAAAAACATGGCGGATTTTGGTTGTCCAAGTCAACGGAAAGACGCGCGCTCATAAAATAAAATTTTTTTCGCCCACCCGGATTTGACAACCACAATTGCGATTATATAAAATATCAATGCCAAGCATAAAAACTTTTAGAAATTTTATCTTTAAAACATGCTGCAAACTTGTTTGGTATACGGATGCTGAAGTAATGTCAGAAAAGGAAACATTTCATGACAATGGTAAGCAACGTACGATTGTTTACTATTTAAAGTATTCAGTGTTTTGTTTTAAGTCAATACTTGAAGTGTGATGGTATATATTTTGTGAATGTTTTTACTCCTAAGTTATAATTTAAGTTATGTTTATCAAGTCTTATTTGTTCTTTACTTAATCGCTTGCTAGACAAGGCAAAGCAACCAATTATTATCGAGATTTGCATACCTTAAACTCCTTATCATAATACCTTATAAGACACCCAGAATCAATCCTACCAAAAAAAACTCAAAAAAATACATACCTACTTATAATATATTTCCAGTCGACTTAAGTCGTAGGGGTAAGCTAACTTTTTCCAACTGCTTTTTGGACATTCTAACTAAGACTTACCCATCTATTTAAGAAAGACAGTTGCACCAAGCTCTTAACAAACAGTCAAAAACACAAGTAATGCATATGGGATTATGCATTAAAGCTTAACACACATTGACAGTGTAAAGAATGCCATTTGATATTTATTTCTAATATAGCTAAAGCATTACTTGACAAAATATATGTTATTTTACAGTAGATTTACCTCATTTAAATGTGTGTGTCTATTTCACAAAAACCACGGGGTCCAGGCCCCTTTTCCCCTCCAGGTCTTATAGAACTCAATGATTCGTATCCGTGTTTTATCCCAACCTTCCACATGCATGAAAATGATATGATCACACTCAATAATGAAGTGTGCGTTCGTCTAATAAAAAGTGTTCAAATTGTTCTAGACCAGATATGACCAAATTCAACATTTTTCAAATGACAGTACAATTTGACAATGACAGAAAATACATGCATGATCGATCGATTCAACGAGTTTCGTTGTCTTATTACAATATCTAAAAAACAACTAAGACAATCAATTAACTTACCTTTAAAATTTTTTGAAATGTAATCATTAATCAGCACATTTGCAGATAAAAAATTAACTCATACACTATGGAATGGGGTGAAAATCCCAATAAGCTCCAAAAACAGTGTATTGTATTATTTGTATGCGTGTCCTTCGTGCTCGTGCTTCCTATAGACCCATTGCACTGACGTCACATTTTTTCTACGTCACCGCCGGAAGTTATGTTCTGGGGGTGAATGGCATTGTATTCTCTATTCAATGTATTCTCTATTCTATGTATTCTCTATTTTATGATTCTATGATACCAAAAAACGACTGGGAAGATTGTGTGGAATTATGGCCGAATGTTTCTTACATAAACGTGGGCATGTATTTATTGTTTTCTGTAAGCTCATACACACAGGACGAGCTTATGAACTACAAAAGTCTTTCGTGCTACCATAATCGGCTGATGATTGCGAATGTATGTGTGTTCATTAATTATCTTCACTTTTATTAAGCGATATCTGCTTCTATTTCTAATAGATAAATGTGAAACGCTAAATTTATTACATTTAAAAATTAGCAATGATTTTTTCAAACACCCTCCATATTTCCAGGGGCGTAACTGTTGGGGGGTGTGTGGGTGGTGTCACACCCCCCAATTGCTAAAAACAGTGTTTTTGCCGGGCATATTGCCGTAAAGTGGCAGGGCAGTGTTCAGGAAGTAGAAAAATTACCATACCATTGAAAACAACTAAATGATTACTAAGTGGAAATAACAAACCTTCATTTTTGACAATTTTGGCTTGATTCTATAGAGCAATGTGTCTGTGAGATGTGTAAGATGAAGTAATTATAAACACAGATACACATTCCGCTGGATACAATGATGAACCATTGCAAAATGGTGATAGCAGGGAGGGCACATTGTATATACACTTTGTGTATACACACTTGTTTATAAATGATTTATAAAAACATGTGGATACAGAAGAAAACAAACAAACTACAATGACAACAACTCATTAACCAGAACCAAAGCAACCTCGCTCCGTAAGAAAATGGTCAAATTTAAGTTTGTTTTTGCAGTTATGTTTACAAGTTTATTATGAGAAAGACCAAGATCCTGACAGTACAGATGCAGAAGCCAGAGCTCAATATCCTTGATGGTCTTCAACTGATTGATGAAACTGTTAGATCACTGGAAAGAATACAGAACACTGAATCCTAATTAAATGATCAAATGGACGTGAGTGTTAAGTTTCCGAAGACTCTAGGCTCCAATCCCGAGGAAGAGTTTGCTAGAAAAAGTAACAAAAGATCAAGCAGACGTTTGGATGACAACCCTGAGACTTTGGCAATTATGTTACTAAAAACTAACTATCGAAAATGCATGATTGAGGTCCTCAATTCCCAATGCAGAGAATATAGAGATAAAATAAAAAGTTGTTTGCAAAAGATAAAACCCTTAGCTGTTATCCTTCAGCCTCCACTGACTAAACCAAATTTTGAACAAGTTGAAAAGGTCACCGAACTTTTTCCTCCATCAATTAGCGTAGATTGTATGTCACTGTATGCAGAACTTAAGATTTTTGTTAACTTTGTAAATGAGACAGAAGAAGAATGTAAAACAGTCCACGACGCCGGAGACACTGCTTTCAAAAATAAAAAAATTTTCCCAAACGTTTATAAATGCTACAAACTTCTGTTTACTGCTCCAGTAAGTGTGGCTGATATTGAAAGATCATTCAGCAAAATGAAAATTGTCAAGAACTACTTGCGCTCAACAATGAAAGGTGAAAGGCTGGAAGAACTCATTGTCTTCTCAACCGAGAAGGATTTAACAGATAAAATTCATCTGGATGTAGTACTAAAATCTTGGGCAGCCAGAAAAAACCGTAAATTCAGAATAAAATTTAAGTAAAAAGCAACACCTCAAGAGTACGATGAGATGATTCTCTTTAAGACTTTTGATATGAGAACAAATATACATTGCTTTACTGTTATGTCCGAAACGGTTAAGGTTTATATTTCAAAACAGTTTTGTAATAATGTATGTGTTAGAAACCTAGTCTTCAATAAGGTATACTAATAAACCACGCATGCAACAATAGAAATGATTATAATTTGCCAGCCATAATGATTTAAGGGGTTTTTGTGGGCAACGCCCTTTTGCAGGGCAAATTTTCTCCACACCCCCCATTACTTCAAGTCTAGTTACGCCCCTGGTCATCACTGGTTTTCTCAAGTTAGTGACAAGAAAGTTTTGAAGCGAGGGAAAGATGTTTTCTGTTATCACTCGACGACAGAAATTTTGAGGCACTAAGGCTTGTATAACGCAAGTTTGTCGATTTTGAACAATATGGCGAAAGATTTACTCGTCCCTGAATCTGAAGAATTAACGATGTGACAACAGTCGAGCAAGAGGACATTCGACTTGATAAACTTGCCCTCGAAGTAATGTGGTTTTAAAGGACTTTCCAAAGACATCATGCTATTAGCTTTTTTATTCAGCACCATTGAAAATGATTCAGCCGTGGCAAAGTGAAGATGCAAGCTTAAAAAATTTCTACACGAGGAAAATTAAGTGTGATAACAAGGCATATTGTTTAATCATTGATGGAGGATATTTAGTCTAACTATCCCAATGAACATATTGATGAGGGAAATACGTCTGTAAACGTCCTTGTGATAGGAGAAGATCCCAATGTAACCATGTGATTATCTAACTAAAAGAGAATAGTGTCGTTATTTTGTTTTTATAATTGTTTCAAACTGTTGTTTCCAATTTGCCTATAACATTTTGCTCAGCTTTAATTGATAAATTATAAAACTTTGTTTTACAATCCTTTACATTCGCAGTCAAAGCCGTAGCTCTTTGCTAAAGCTGCAGAATTTGGAGGAATTCACAAACTTGTTTTCAATTCAACCATGAAAGCGCGTCATATATGCAGTTTGGCAAAATTTAATCACTCATGACGGCGAACTTCCCACTGCATTCACTGAGGAAGAAAGCCCTACTTAACTCGTGTTTGCTTGCCTACAAGACTGCTGATGTTAAAGTTTAACACACCCAACCCACCATACAACAAGTTTACTAAAAGCCCTAACTATATAGAAAAAAGTCTTTTTTACTTCAAATTAATTATATCTATGTTGCAGCATTATCGAAGGATTTCATCCAAACATAACTGAACTAAATTCTTGTGTAACAAGAAGCTTTACAAAAGTACTTATCTACAATCTGCAATATGCAGTTAGCAAATTGGATGATGTGAAAATTAGCACTGATTTTAAGCAGAATGCTTCACAGCTGCTTCGTCATCATGCACGACAATCGTTTGTTTATAGGGTCACAAATATGACACCTTAATATAGCGTATGACAGTTTTCGAAAATGCAAATGAAGCTTGATTAGTTTCAAAATTTAGTAGGAACTAAATAGTCAATACGGTTTTATAATACATCTTTCAGTATAAGTTTATATTGCCGTCTATTACTTCCATCAAAATTCAATTAAAAGAATTCATTGGCACGAAGTTTTATCAACGTACATTTTCTACGAAAACAATCTAGACTAGCTTTAGTTCCTGCATTAAGATTTTCTCAGCTGCAACGTTCTATGCAACTTTCTTAATCTGTTATGATGTAAACATAGTTACATCAGGTGTACTTGTCATGATCAATGTTGACTTTGTGTGTTTTCAAAGTATGGATAGGAGTAAAATCTCCAACTTTGTTGAATATTCTTCGTACATAGTTCTAAAATCAGCTTCTTTCCAAACTGTTGCAAGCAAAGGTTGTGACCAGATAATCTAATAAACTCATCCTAAAGAGAATATAAAAAAGTCATTTTCCAAAAATCGGCTCCTATTTATATTTTGTTTTACTCTGCCGTGGAAGATAAAGTCGGAAGGCTCATGCAGTGAGAATGTCACTTTTCTAATTCGTAAATGTCTTATGATTCTACCGTAAATGCTTTGAATTTTTTTTGTTTCAAACAATTTATACAATAAAATAGCAAATGTATCCAATTTTATTGAGCATATTTAGCATCACAGCAAAAATATTTATTTATTTTAAAAATATATTAATATGAATACGAATTTTTTTGGTAGAGTTATAAGAAAAAAGAAAATTCTTATCGGAGAGTACTAAGTAAACTTTCTTACAAACTTTCGTAATGAATACGCTGAAAATGCGAAGTTTCTGAACCTGAAACTAGTTAGGACACAAAAAGCGAAAGTCCAATAAGCATTGCGAAAATTTTACTTTTAGTTTGTTGTACTCTCTTGTACAAAGCAAATGTTTTAATCTTTAAACTCACATACATTTTTAAGAAAAATATTAGTGGGATAACAATTATTTGGATAGCATTTTCTCCCATTTTCAGTGAATTTTTCACTCACTTGACTGTAAGAAAACTTTTTCCTGGTTCTCATAGCTATGTTTTCTGTTTAAAATGTTTACAACCCTCATTCTGTTGCCATGTTTTGGTGGCAAATTATTTCACGTCATATGCTTCCATTTGTTTTTTTGATAACGCTAGAAACGTTTTTTAAAAATTAAAGCTATGATGAATTCACATGGACACCAGGTTGATAGCCAAGTAACGACTACCAAAAGCTCCTTTCATATTTGGATGCTATAATGTTGCTGCCTCTCCACCATTTAGTTCTCGTATAAATTATAAGATTTCTCTACATTTCACTGTTTCATTTTTCTTGTTAGAGCTACACATCAATACATTCAACATACCCTGGTATGCTCCCACTTTATGTGTCCATGAATTGTTTTACAATGCTGCATTTTAACGTCAACTCCCCTTCCAACCGCTGAAACACCCATGCAATGACCGTTTTTCCAAATTTCCATTTCTTTTGTGTAAATAAAGAACTATATAATGCAAAAAGAGAAAATTGTTAACCGTCCACCCTTAGGAGTTTTTCGAATCCAATATTAATTAGCCTCTTGATTGTGACACATTTGTCATCCTGGGAACAAAAATTTTATCACGACCAGCAAAGTATTCCAGCAGGTAGACAAAAAGTGAAAAAGAACAAACAATGAAAATACTATTTTTGGCTCTGTTACCTGATTGCCTCCCAGTCCATGACATGGATACATGCCAAGTTGATGTCCAGCATTTTTGTTTCCGAATGTGTCAATGCACATTCCGCTGTAGGCGTTTATCACCTGAATATTGGATAAAAAGAAAAAACGAAAGTTCTCTTTAAAGTCACTGTCTTTAGAACTATACTTTTTGTGAAAATCCCTTTACAATGTTCAAATAAACAAAAATGTTCCATGATAAATTCTTTGTTCAATTAGAATTATCAACTTTGGAAGTCATTTAACATTCATACAAAATTGACTGCAAACTTATAAGAAATAACGTATCCTCTCAACTAAAAAAAGTGTACCTTACCTCCTGGGCCTTTCTTAACTATATAAGTGGGGGCGTTCGCCCCACCCCAACTCTCATTCCGCCCTCCTCACTTATGGATTTTGCCCCATCGAGGGGCAATTCCACTATGCCTTCAATTTGTGCTTCATAACGTAGTAATGATGTTTTAACATGTCGGCAGTGCAAAAATATCTTGTATGTTGTTCCCGACACCATTTTGTTTAGCATTTTGATAATCTATAAATTTTGTGCAAAATGGCGTCGAAAAATGAAGAGCTCGTGTATAAAAAACACCACTGCAATATCAAAAATACAAATACTAATTGTTATCCTTTGCTTTTGAGAAGGAATAAAACAAATACAAAATTACAACAAACGTCATAAAACTCTTTTATTTATTAAATCTTATTTTGAGTTTGCGGCGAAGGAACGTCACCAGGTGAGCAATGGCCGACGAACCTTGTGCAATACCGCCAACATAGGGGGGCCGCAACAAGCGAAGCAGATCGGCATAGGTTGTGAACCTCTTCCCCAAGGAAACGATGGACGTGATGAGATCGTCAGAAGCGGTTGTAAAAAAATTGTTAAACACAAAGAACCATTTAAGACAGAATCTTCATAATTTTGTAACTCATCGAGCAGATTGGCGTGATGTCGGCTAAGGTTTTCTAAGAGTTGCTTTGTTGGAGAAAGGAATTTTTCTAACTCAACTGAGTTGACTCATCTTTCATAAAGCTCATTCGTCTGCTCTGTTTGGTCGTTTTTCGAATTTTTAAAACTATCAATCACGAGTCTTTTGAAAGCGTCGTACAGGTATTTTAGGAATCGTATTGCGTTGTTATAATGCTTTCCTTTAAGCATTTGGTCAACGGAAGATTCACCAAGAAGATTTGCCTCGATTACGATGTCGCGAAGACCAGCATCAGCAAACCTCTTTCCGATAAGAGCAATGAATATACACATTGTATGAAACCCTCCAAGCCCCAAAACGACGAACTGCTTAAGATCTATGTATCTTGGATTCATCATAACTTCCACATCTTTAGCGTTTATCGCAATATCTAGCACCACATCTGTTTCGATCAAACCAAGTTTTTCTGCCTTCACCTTTGATTGACTGAGGAGTTCCAGAACAGTATCATGGGACGTTGGAGATTTGTTAGTCGACGGCAGGTGGCCAATTTCATGGTAGCTGTCGTTGTCGTTTTTGCACAAAAAATAATTAAAGCCTGTCCAACTAGTTATCTGCTTGCTGCTCGAAATTTGTCTTATTGACTTGAGCTCTGGCGATGATCCAAAGCGTATCAAAAATGTATGAGAGTTTTACTTCGTCTGTGTGCATGCGTAGCTGAATGCTAGTCGTGGCTTCTGTGTTTTTGCGCTTCACCTGAACGTACGAAGGTATCTCTGTTAAAAGAGGTTCAAACTTTTTCGTTTTTTTGTTTCTTACATGAATGTGGAGACACTAAGGAGTCTACAGAAGATGGCTGGGGTTCATTTATTACAACATATGATGGCTCGATGACAATGCCATTCGTACAGTGCAAACTAGGCCCTTTGAGACTTTCAGGATTGATGTTGTTGTTATCCCAAACAAAAGTGACGAATTTAGATGGCTGAATAATAGCTCGAGAAAAGGACCTGTGAACTTGGTCTTTTAAATGTTGAATTGCCAGAGTAGTTTCAAGAATAAGCACATCATCAAAAGACATCCCGTGGCCGAACTTTTGTGTCCAGTTGATAACTATTTTGGAGCCCGTATTTCTTTTGATGCCAAAAGGAAAGGTTGTATGCTTTTAAGATTTTTTCTGACCATTGTCTGCGTGGTAGATCAGATCTGGTCCAATTGAAGACGCTAAACGCATCACCTTTGCGAATTTCGTTGATTTATGAATGAGGACTCCTTCCAAAAAACAGGTTTGTTAGTATTGGAATTTCTGTTTCTTCGGACAGAAGCTCTGGTGGTGGAGAACTTCTAAAAGTACTGGCAGTTTCCAATAATTCTTTACGTATTTCATGGGCAACTTGCATCGTTTTCTCGTCCAGCGATAAGTCGTCCCATTTATAGTTCAATAACTTTGCCTTAACAGCTGCTTCAACTAACTGCCCCTTTTCAACATTGTTATTAAACAAACACTCACTGCCGTACTTTGGACACCAAAACCCAACTTTTGAACCAAAAGATTTCTGAATCTTATCTTTAAGCTTTTGTACTTTAAGTGAGCTAAACTGATTTTCAGCACCAAATAAACGTTCTGCAATTTCTAAGTATTTCTTAGTTAAATCAACCATCCGCCAAACTTGACACCCAAGGATTACCTTCTCTTCGATGACAACAGATAGCTCCTGAAAAACGGTTTCACCATTGCTTGAAGCCACTGGTTTTGTCTTGCGCTTTTTGCAGATTTCCATATAACACGATCTGTGATAAAAATACTCCTTTGCTAAAGTTGTCTGCCATTCTGAGTTCCAAACCTCTGTTTACAAATGTGGAAAATCGAATGATAGAGCAGCATCGTGCGAAGATCGTGCACCATTCTCAGTCTCGCATTTTTCTTCTGCTGTTTTTCCTTCCACACACACAACACTCGTGATCTGCCAATAACGTACCTACATATATTTACATAAGTAACTTAATCAACTGTAAGTTTTAATTATAATTAGGGTCTTACTGATAAAGAGACATCAGCGAATTATACCTCTTCGATCTGTTTTTCTTGTTGAATCTCGCTGTCGCTCACGTATAGGCTTTTTGACTTTTAACTTGCCGTGAGTATATTTTTTATAACATTTTCGATGATACCCGTACTCTGGCGAGGGAAGATCTTTCCCAAAAGAATCGATTATTGCAATAATTTTCTTATCCTCACATTTCTTTGCAGCTTTGTAGATAGATTTTTTGGACGTGTCACTGAACCTAATCATCGATTCATACGGACACTTTTCGCTGCACTGAAGAATGCACCCGATAAATGTTTTATTTGATGTAGAGTTTTTTTGTGCTTTTGACAGTGAAATACTCACATCAACTCCAAACGGTATATTTTTTCGTTTTCCAGACATAGTTTGTCAGACAATACATGCAACCAATAGAACATGCCAGGCGAACATATAATTTTTATGTAGTTTATATGAAGTATGGTATTTCCGCTGATCAAAATAGCCAAGTCTCACTTCTACCTGCAAAATTATTCAAAAATCATGGCGCTCCTCAAAACAAACCAAACGCTGTCAGTAAAAGTTATTAGTCGACCTTCTCAAGAAAATTTTTCCTCGCCGACTTATTCAGATGATTTTAAAGGTGTTTAACTACAATTCTAGCATAAAATGAAATTGCCCTAGGTATGGTAAGTTTTACTCAATTTTCTTCACATATCTGCCTGACTATCAGAGGTAGCAAGCCTCCAGTTACAGAATTCTAGTCAGCTTTTTCTGTCCTATTGCATCACAACATGATTGTTGAAAGGTCTATCTCAACATACAACATGCTGTTTTCTAACCTACGAACAGCCACTTCAGAGATGACATTAGTTGACTGATTATTAATTCACTGGAACGGTGTTACGAGCGCTCATTACGATCCACGGCTTGCTGTTTAGAAATTCATGCTCGATAAAGACAGAAGAATGAATTTTCCAACTGTCAGCACGTAAATGGAAAGGATTTTATCAAAAGTTTTCAAGCAACCCTCACAACAATAAAACTTTTATTGTAAAATATTGTAAACTCGTTAGGTCTATAGAGCTTTTACAATCAAGGTTGCTTGTTTGTTTGTCTTATATGGAACAAGACAACCATGGGAATATTTAATATATTCAAAATGTTTAGTATGAATATTTCTATACATCTTATATTACTTGTATTACACTAGACCCTTTTGTCACCCCCCACTGAGAAATTCTGAGAAAGGCCCTGCTTACCTCTCCTCTTCCCAATGGATTCAGATCAGGAATTTGCATTTCTGGCATGAGCATTTCAAGATACCAAGAGAAAGTCTTGCATTGTAATCTTTTTCTCAATTTTTGTCTTTCTGATAAATCGCCAGCATCCAGTTTCGCAAATGAAGGATGCTTCATGGTATATACAAATGGCTTAAATTCGTCTAGCCAGACCTCTACAAAACGCTTTATATTCTTGTCCGTTGAGTGCATGGCAGTTTTGTAAGGCATTCTATCACGAAAGACATGGCCAACTTTTGAGCAAGGTAAAATTTCTATTGTTCCACCACACATCCAAATCTATCAAAGAATTGTAATTAGCATTTATACGTTTTATGTCCTCAAAATGTGTAAACCGACTCATTACAGTTTTTTAAAGAAGTACTGTCACAACGCAAGCCCATTTAAAACGATACGTTTTAGCATGACAAAGAATGACTATAGCACTATACAAGAATACAACGATGACTTGTATTCTTTTAATTGTAGAGAACTAGTTTTGATTTCATTTTTTCTCACTTTTTCGTGCTGTATAGTTTCAAATACTGATCAATAAAGGGAATAAAACACATTGGATCGAATATCAATACTGGTGTTAATGATAACAGCCAATGGGATGAATTTATTTCATACTCCCTAAACGACATCTCGAGGTTTTCACCACCCCAGTTAGTCATATTGGTGTCATATGCTCCAAGACGATAAAAGAATTTTTGATATTGCAAACAAGCCACCAGCCATTGTCGGAGATCTAAATGAAAGTCATGCAATTTAATTATGAGAAGTTTGGCCTTATTGTTTCAATGAGTGAATATGCGATTATAGTCCAGCGGATAGACATTTCATCAATATGTCATGGATTTACATAATACACACATTTTAGAGTAGGAAAGCATTATTTCTTGCTAAGTATCACAATTTCTTCATCATTGAATCAACTCAAACTCAAGCTTACACATTGTATATATTCTATATTTGGAGAATTTGTAGCTTTTTTTATCAAACAATGAAACATAGTTAACAAAAGAAACCTCAATGGTAGTCCCCTGATCTCCTTTGATTTCTCTTCTGCATTCATCTTTCGCCATTTGAAACGCATTTCCCAATTAAATATTCCAATACTAGGTTCGTGTCTCTGTGCGTAGTGAAATGTTTTATGATCAATAACTTCAATGTCAGGTGTAACAACGTGTGTTTGATCCTCGCTAATTCTTGCTAAAAGTGGCTCAAGCCAACCTTTGTTTGCTTCGCAATGCGAATCAAGAAAAACTAAAACTTCTCCCATGGCTTGACTTGCTCGAGCATTCTAGCTCCCACAATTCCATGGCGCTTTGGCATTCTCAACAAGCTTACTTTTTTCAACAATCTTAACTTTTCATGAAGTTTTGATCCCAAATGTTCTAGTATATGAAAAATTCCATAATATTATTGGCTATTGCTTTAATAGCAAAAAATAGCTCATCTTTGGGCCCATTCCCACTTAATTCGTTAGCTCATCGAATTATTTGATTCGAAATCGATTCGTTTTAAAATGAAAAAACACGGGTGTTCACAATTAAAGTTTTATCCGTATTATTTTTCGCTTGATAACATAGTATCATAAGAAACTCAAAAAGATAGATATAGAGAAGCAGGTCTTTTAGTCTACGTCTAGGGTATTGTGGGTACATACCTTAGAATGTATACTTTATGTAAAATGTATGTTTACATTTACTTCACGTGATTGACATTAAATTTTGGCGTCTTTTCTAAACCTTCATTGAATCTTTGAGAATAACAATATTTAATAATAACGAATACAAATGGCGGAGATTACTGGAATGGGCATACTTTTGCGGGAATACCAAAAGAACGGAAAAAAAGCCACAAGATCGAAGGTAATGCGAAAAAAATACTGCAATACTTTCAAATGAATGCAAGGCGTAGCATCAGTCTTGTCATTAAGAAATACATCGAGGCCTGTTGCATCAGGTTTGTCATTAAGGGAATACATCAAGCTGATCATCAAACTTAGGTGGTTGCTTTCGACCAGTAGCATGAGTCGCCATAGCATGTACTTCTTATAAAGACCTTTCAAATGTTTTATTTTCCCGTGACGTTGAATGAAGTTTCTCTCAGTATTTCTCGCCTTCAATTTTTCGACTATATTTTTGTAAATATTTGCGTTTTTGTGAGTATTACTTAGTTTCTTTTGTATTTTTTTTGTTAATAGAAATCAGTGCCATCACTTCTTCATCAAACCAGGTTTATCTACGTTTCGACATATTTACTCATAAATAAAACTGTAAAATATTGCTGCAAGCAAACACAGTAGAAAGAAACGCGTGACATGTGTGACCGCACGAAAAGTCTGGTTACTAAGCCAAAAACATGTGATTGATCAAGATTGATCTGATTCTATTCGTGTTGCATGTTCACATTATCATGCAGACCAAACTAATCCGATTCGAGACGACCTTTTCAAGTGGTCCAAGTTAGTTCGGATTGAATTCCTTTTTGCATCACTTGCAAGTGTTCACATTAGCCCTCATACAGACTCTAATCGATTTCGAATCGATTTAAAGTGTTAGTGTGAATGGGCACTTAAATTAAATGTTCGTAAATGTAGATCGTCCAGGTTGGTATAGTCCTGAGAAGGACTGTTTTTGTTGTTGTTGACTGACGTTGCGACAACCTTAGCGGTAGTCATCTTCGTAGTCAAATGCAAAACAGTCCTTCTCAGGACTATACCAACCTGGACGATTTACATTTACAAACATGTAACGATACTCCCGGGTTCAAACCATTTACTTTAGCACTTAAATTACGAACGAGGACTGATTTACTAACATTTGAAATCATAACTGGCTGCTCTCATTATTATGTTATCAGGCTTAGTATCCTTATTTAAGAGGTTGATATATTACTACGTCAGCCTTTTGTAACCCAGACAACTGTATCAAGTATGTTATTGGTTTGCATGTATAGATAGAAGGTGAAAAAGCACTGATGCATCAAAATATATGTGACTTTGGTGCATCATGCAGTAGATCGGTAGCTAAATCATTATAGTTTCTAAAATATAACACCAAATGATTGCAGCAAAACTGGCTTAGAAAAAATCGCACATTTAAAACAACCTAACTGCTGATAAATCATTGTAAAATTTAATCTTGATTTCTACATCGTATTTATCGTGGCCTAAGTTGTACAAAACGCGATTTAGCTTGTACGCCAGTAAACTTGTTTTTAATGATGTTTTAAAGGGGAACTCCACCCAAAAATAATGTTGGTCTTAAAACTTTGTCTGTCCCGTGAAAATAAATATGCGGCATTTTTTTGTTTGTTTGATTCAATATTTTCACAAAAAATGAGTTGAAATGCTGCAGCTAGGGCATCCGGTGCGTGGGAGCAGAAATATGTCAGCGGCTTGTATTGACGTCATATCGTCAATTGCTCCTCAAAGCTTTATGTAAAGTCATTGCACAGTCATAATAAACTTGCGTCAAAATGCTTCTCCTAATCACAAAATGTTTCTTTTCGACCGTCAGAATTTTTTATTCGTAGGTATATACACAAGCAACTTTTATAGCTTACATGCAAGTATTGAGCTGGTTATTTGTATTCTGTTTTAATAAAACGTTTTCACATCCATAAAGGCCATTATCTCACAGTTTCCGCACTACATATAGCACTTGAATATCGATTAATATTATTTTTTAAAAAATACGAAGGTTTCTTTGTGTGGAAACTGTGCGTAATGCCGTTTGCTTGTCCTCTGAATTCAACTTTAACAACAGTTTCCACTGATGTGAAACCAATCTATTGCCCTTAATAAACATTGAATAATAATAAACATGGTTGTGTAACTCATTACTGTTAGAAAATAATCCTACATAAAACCATTGTAAAAATTGCCAGTGCTATGAAAAACGAACACCCTCATATTGATCACCAATACGATGTGTGGCATTTGTCTAAATCTGTCACAAAAAAACTAACAAAGAAGGCTAACATTAAGGGAAATGATGACTTGACCCATTGGATTAAGTCCATTTCTAATCATCTTTGGTGGTGCTCTGCAAGTTGTAACAAGAATGCAGAAGAATTGGTGGAAAAATGGAAGTCTGTCCTTAACCACATTTCCAACAAGCATTTCTGGAAGGGGAACACATATTTTCATCAATGTTGCCACCAACAATTAACAGAAAAGAAACAAAGCAGAAGAAGTGGTTATTTCCTACTTCACAAGCATATATCGCTGCAGAGAAGGTGATATGTGACAAGAGGCTTCTAAAAGACCTGCGGAAGCTATCTGAGTTTTGTCACACAGAGAGTTGGAGGTTTACCATTCCTTTACTGAAATATTGCCCAAAGCGAGAGCATTTTATTTCCTGGGATGGTAGCCCGCACTCAGTTAGCAGCATTAGATCACAACAACAATATTAAACGTGATAAAGCAGTCATTAAGTCAGGGACAAACAAAGGGCAAGACCGTTACAAAATGATTTTGCTAAAACACAGAAGCAATGGGTTGTAAAAGCAATGAAAGAAAAGAAAGAGTACCAGTACATTGATAAACTACTTGCGGAGGTTGTGAATGCATGCAAAACTGAGGAGATTGAACTTGTACATCATGGCGAGAATCTTCCAAAGAACATTTCTAAATCATGTCCACCCAGGAAAGAAGTACTTGTAAAGGAACATCAGTCTAGATTTGCATAAAATGTCAGTGGTGATGTTAGCTATGGCAATAGGTTTTGCCATACCCATATAATATGACGTTGAATCAGTGAAGACAACTTTTGTACTACTTAAAAAATGTTCATTCTTAAATATTAACATAGCAAAACCTTTTGCTATAGCTAGTTTCACCACTGCATTACACAAACTATTCATGTAATTAATTATAGTTACGTTATAACCAGTGTAATAGCGAAGCCACATTTATAATCATTTCTTTGTAAATCTGTTTTTTTTTGTAATAAATTAATAATAATAAATGTGCATAGCATGACCTATAAATGAGCTGGCTATGCCAGTTTAATATTGACATACAAAGTAATTGTAATGGGTATACCTATATCATAATAAAATACTTCATTCATCAACATAGTGAAAGCCTTCAAATTGAAATTCCTCTGCAAGGCCAGGTGGAGGAAATGTTTCTCTAATGCGAGTAACTGCACATGATGGCAAGATGACTCTCACTTCTCTACCCAAGACACCCCAGCACCATCTTGCCAACTGTCTATATGCAATATGGCGGTACAGTTTGTCTTCGGGCCCATCATATGCTACCTCATATTGCTGCTTGTACTGGTACCAAGCTGTTTGTAAAACCCACCTGTTAAGACAAACAGGCTCAAAACCAGGATGTTGTGTAATGCACAAAGGGACGTCGGTGGTCTCATTCGTTTCTACTGCCTCTAAATTTTTGTCACAAATATTGGAAAGCTCTTTGCAGCATAAACATTCCTCGTTATTATCCATTATTTGGCAGTTACCACATTGACACCTGAATATGTTAAAAGAAAGGATCTTGAAAAGTAAATGTCAAAACTTCAATAAAAATTGTATCTTACAATAAAAACTTTAAAATCTAAAGTATTATGTTTGTGTGGACGTGGTCAACTTCAAAAACTGAAAACGTACTTTTGAGATAGAAACAATGGTCTAGAATAATATAACATTTTACTACCCACCATTCAAGATTGTCGCGCCGAGATTCATCGTCAAAATACAAAAATTCCTGTTCTTCGTTATCCTCAAACTGGTGAGCTTCTTCGTGTTCATCAGCCGGCCATTCGGGCTCAAACTGATATTGCCGAATATTGTTTGTTGGATTGTCTTCCATTTCACTATCGATTGGTGAATTAGGCCGAGGTTCTTCCAAAAAAGCCATTATAAGCGATTGTTTTGTTTTTGTGCTAGGCTGTGCGTTATTATTTTACTTTGTTGTAAACTCAACTCCAAATCGGTTTGACGATATGACGTCAAAATAATTTCCGCTGACGCTTTCTGTGCCCACGCTGCTAAGCCTCAAAACAGCTCAAATAGCGCACTTGAAGACGCGATTTTGTCAAAAATAAAATAGCTGATGTAAAAATTTCAAAATATAGTAACCTTTGCATAAAAATGGAACTTTTAAGACCAACATTATTTTTGGGTGGAGTTCCCCTTTAATGATTACTCGTGTCTTGTAATATGGATGGATTGCACATTTGATTCTGCATAATGATGTTGGTGTAATTATGGCTTCAAGGGTTTCAACCACAATTTCTTATTTGTTGTCAATGTTAATGTTCATCTTGCTTTTATTCTTGTTTCGAAAAGCTTCTTAAAAAGCCATCAAAAGATGAAGAACAATATCATTTTTACTAATATATTCCCCTCGACATTCTTGTATAGATAAAGTTTTTACTCTAAATACAATATTTTGCAAAAACCAAAAATACATCTCAATTAAATTTTGCATTATTCACAATTCTTGTGATAGATGCATGTTTTTTTTATTGTCTAGGATGATGGATGGTTGCTTGGAAGATTGGAAAGTACTGGTGAGAAGGGTGTTTTCCCTGAAAACTTTACGAAACGATTGGAAAAATGAAATTGCTTTTCTTGTGAACATGTAACCATTGAATGCTTCACATATCTGTGATTTTGGATTATTTAAAGACGAAATGTCGTATAGTTTGTTACAAAAATATTGCATTTTCATGGTCTTATTAGCGATTAAATTTACGAAAATTGCGTCAAACAATGCAAGCAAAACTGTTTTTCTTTCAATAAAGCAATTTTTAAGGTATAATTTATTCATTTTGAACAGTAAGGCCATGGATATGAATTTTTCTCTGTTGAAATGTATACGTGCACGTATGTATGAGCTTGTATGTTTTGTATTTTTTGAACATTACATTTATTTAATGTTGCCAATAGTCGCAAGTGCACGTTTATAGAAAAAAGATAAATTTTCATAAATTCTGTGATGTTAACTGGTAGATTTTTCAAATTAATAAAATTTTAAAAAAATTTGAACATTAAATGAGTTCTGCTGTATGCTAAAGGTTCCCACTATTGTTAAGTAGAAAGTTTTGTTTACATGGCATGGCTTTAAAGATGTGGCGAGAATGTTGGAGTAGTTGCCGTTCATATATCAACACTTGATTTTCAATTAATGGGATCTAAAATATTTCTTTTTGTGTTTACGATGGACATGAAATCATGTTTAGCATCAAGATTGTTGCTACACGATTTAACGCGGAGAAATTTGGATAAGCCAAGTACCAACTACTACCAAAATTCTATAACAAATATTCTACACGACATGTTCATCCTATCTCTTTTCTCAACAGAATTTATTGATCGACTCCATCAAATACCCTTTTGTCGATAAACACCTGGTTGGACATTATGTGTGTTATCTGTGTTATTGGATATTGTCTTAACTGTTTTTAAATCGCTCCACTTTTGAAATAGCAGGAAATTTTCGTCTCAAAGTGCCTATACGATGTATGATTTTTATTGTAAGGACTTCTAAAACATTAACAGACTTTCTTTTCAACGATTATGTTCCCATGCTTACTTAATGTTTTGTCTTGATACACATATGGTTGATATGCAACATTCTTCATGTATATTATGTAATTTTGACCAGAGAAAAATCTAATTCAGCAGAAATGCATTTTTCATCTGAGTTTTTATTAATACGTGAAAGTGTCAAAGAATTCAATATCAATTGCGTTCATTGGCAATTTGAATTGAACAAAACTACACAACCCGTTGGTCCAAAAACAGTCCTGTGTAAACGGAAGTAATTCTGCGTTCAATTAATCAGCTGAGTGAATGACTTAAAGTGCTTATATTACAAATTTTAGCTCCCCTTTTTTTTTGAGCTTAATTGAAAATTTGGATTATTTGAAGAACTATGACATGTCGCTGGACTTAAACAGATAAATATAAGTTCCTTAATTTTGCCTCCAAAGTCGGGTACTATTTGCGAATTTTTTACGACGCCATATTGATACTTGTGGCGTAGATAGTTGAACACGTCTATTTCCGTCAATATAATATTATATTATAGGAGGTGATTTTGTTGTCGTTTTTCTTGTCTTAAAAACAAATAATGAAAGTATTTTCAATAAAATATTAAAAAACAAGTTTTCCGGAAAGTATGGCCTCAAATCAGTGCTCAGATAATTTGAATTCGATGTCTGAATGCGTATCTGATTCGAGCTCGGAATCCGTGGGTTATGTCGAGCATTTAAATGACTTCGCATATGACGATGAACCGCTCGCAGGAGATGGTGATGAAGTGCATACTCCAGATGATCCCGATGGAATTCTCCCTGCGACATTAGAACAACGAAGTAATGGCGTAATTCCACTCGGTGAATGGTAAGTTGTTGTTTTCTCCTGTTTGTAATATACATAAAGTTACTTTATAAACCACAATGCTCCCACGTTTCAGGTGTAATTGTCAATGCTGTCATAGCGATTTGTTAGAAGGCGCATTAGAGTACAGATGCTGTAAGGAGATAGGACCAGCTTTGCTGAAAATGACATTCGATGGCAGCATTGAGAAAATATCATGCATAACACGGCATGCCAAATTTGGGCCTTTAGTTCATGAGGCTGTCCTTGAAAACGTCGGGCCACTATTGAGAGATAGGAATGGACGTGCTTATCGCCGCCAAGTATCACAATCATTAAATATGTAAGATTGTAAATTGTATGAGAAACAATGTTATCATCAACATTGTTTCATCAACAATAATTAGTCCAACCTTTTTATTTACCTCAGGTACTTGAGAGCTGTGGCATACAGATGGTTGATGCAATGGTTTTGCGGGTCTATGGGATGGGAAAATACTTGGCCTTTACCTGCTTGTGTTTACCACATAAAGTTCTTTTCAACGCATTTACCACAATTTTGCTCTACAATGGCCATCGAACCAATGTTTTTAATGTGTACTTTTGGATTTTCAGCCTTGCAGTTAAAGCAAAATTTTTCAAATACCATGAACATAGGTTGTTCATGCGAGCTTGCTCCTTCATCAATTCTGTAACACGATTAAGAAAATTCATTATTATGAAATACTAAAGAGATCTAATTCTTTATAAGATAAAATACCTGACTGTATTACTTGTGGTATCTTCATCTAAATCTTCACTCTGACTAGACTCTTCAAGAGGAGAAGTCCATGTATGATTCGAAAAGCTCTTCAGCACTCCCTGCATTTCATCGTCTATATTAATGCTGGTCACCACGGATGTATTACGATTTTCCCTGATTTCGCTTCGATATTCATTTTGCAACTTCTGGGCCTTTTTCTACAAAGACGCTTTTGTCTTTTTATACCAGCTTAAACTCTTTTGTAAAGATGTAAGTTTTTTCTTAAGACGATGGCACGATTTACATGGAGACTGGGATTCACAAATATCTTCACCAACTGCATATAGTTCTTCTTCAAATGGCGAATTGTTTGCTTCCCCAGTGCATACTTCAACATGCTCAGCTCCATCACTAGTAGATGGTACTTCCTCATAGAGAAAACATGTTTCCTTCAGCGATGGCTTATGGAGAGTATGTCGAATAATCTACAAAATTTATATCGAATTTACATATGACAAAAGAAAAATTTACATAAACAAGCGTAAACTTACTTGTCTTCGCTTTCGATCGGTTATTTCGTCCTGTAATGGTTCAGGAATCCCAGCCACGTCAATGGTTGGGATAGCATCTTTCTTCAACCTTCTTTTGAGCTTGACTTGCACGCTCAAATTAAGGTCAAAACAAGAATCTTCAAAATGCGCAGAACACAGACACGAGGTAGAGGAAGCCTCAAAACCCGGTCTATGTTTACGCACAAAATTTACCCATTTTCTATGTCTTTGCGGCTCTGTTTCTTTTTTAGGAAACAGATGCATCGACATTCCTTCGGTTTTTGAATCATTGGCGCAACTAATTTGATTAGGTCCGCCAGCAACACAGCGTTTTCCTCCGCGTTTCTTATTAAGATTACTAGTAGAATACGCTATGTTGATATATGTGTTCGACTTTCTACGTCACAAGTCATTAGCATACCGATCAAAAAGTTTGCAAAAAAAATGCTGAAAATCGTGACTTTGAACGTCCGTAAAATCACTTTCACCAATCCAATTTCAATTATAATTGCAGATTTAAAATCACTGAAACAAGGTCTTTCAATTAAGCTCATAAAAAAGGGGGGCTAAAATTCGTAATATAAGCACTTTAACATACTCTCGTCAAATCTTTAAAATTTAAATTATTAGATTTATCCAAAAAGTGTTTTATTTGAAGTGGAAACGACATGAAATTTGTGAGATTTCTTGAGTTTGTTACTATTATTTTGTGTTTGGGCACTTAGCGCAATTTAAACAGAAGCACCCGCCAGCACAAAGACGTGACTTATTGATAGCGTACAACTGAAATGTATTACAAAGAAAGGATGAGACTGATCGAACTTTTTTTGTTGATTGGAATTTGGGGATTTCGTTATTGATATGTTTTTATAAGGTTTTATTATAGATGTCTTCTACATTCTCAATGTACCTTAAATATACATCATTTGAGCTTCTAAATGCATGGCTACCCACATGTACACTTATGTGTACCTATTTTTGATGCATGTACTACAATGCTAGAATTAACGTCTATGTTTGTGAAAAATTCAGTTTTCGTTTTTTAGGATGAAAAAGGCCTGCTTTTATGCGTGCAATTAGCAAAATATACTGAAACGTCAGGGCCTGATAAACATACGACAAAATAGTTACTAATAAAATCTTGTGCTTACAAAGGTTTAATTTCTGCATTTTTTACTCTTCCAAAAGTTTGTAAAGATTTATTTTATTAATGTAATTTGTGTTTGACAAGCTGATATGAGCTTGTATGGTATGTTGATCAGAAAATCTTTCACCCGAAGAGCTCTAATATATTACAACAAAATATTGTTTGTAAACCTACAGTAGAGTTGTTCAGCATTAAATTGCCGCCCCTTTTGATCTTTTAGTACAAAGAATTGATTTTTATTTTTCTTCAAATGCGGTTATGGCATTATCCCCCAATCTCTGAAATCTCGTGGTTTGCAATTGTCAACCATAAGTCCATCCTTATGTACTCTTCCTTCAGAAATTGCCAAGCACACGTTACACCAAAGTCCAAATTTATCATTCCAGTATTTCCCAATAGCTGTCTCATCAATTGAACCAAGACCTTTGAACTTCCACTCAAGAAATTTTTCGTATTCCTTTTTGTCATTCATTAAAAACTTTAACGAGTTGGCCAAATCTTCGGGAGATTCAAAGTCTCGTACATTTATTATAGCTTTTTCTAAATTTCCAGGCAAAAACTCGTAAATTTTATCTGTACTCATAACAACTGGAACAGCACCAGCATTTAAAGCGTGAAGAATTTGATCATCAACAAAATAATCGCAATCCTCGTTGAAAAATACTATCACAAATTTATAAAACTTCTCTAGCTCTTCCTTTTTTTTCTTAAAATTACCTTGGTAGCGAAATGGTAAACCGTCTTTATTGTGAACGCAGCCCCCGTAAGAGTCCACGTGTATATACTTCATAAGTTCTTTCAAGTAGGCAGTTCTAACTGGTTCGCAGTTTGAAAAAGCAGCCATAACTCCACCATACTTTTTTTCAAATTCTATTGGTGGATCAAGACTTGGCTTTGTAAACAGGGGACAGGGAATATCCGAGTCCAATCGATAGCTTGAAAATAGTTGAAACTGCGACATGTACTCTGGGTTTGATAAAACTGGCACAAAAACTGGGTTTTCTTGAGTCCAGAGAAGCCAAGGCTTGTTCTTTATTGGAGGTAAAGGATGCGAATCCCAAGCATGAACAATAAAGCCTTCAGCTTCATTAATACGCGAACGATTAATTGTAACTTCACACGCGATCGGGCATTGTCCTTTTTCTTTTCCTTTTTCCCAAACACCTTCGTCCTTTTTTGCTGGTGTGCCAAATATGGTAGACCAAAACAACAAAACTATCTTGGGATTTTGTAATATTACTTCAGTTGTTTCAATTTTTAATTCTTTACTTTCTCGTGTTGTGTTGAATATGCTTCTGATCAGATGGCCAGTGTTATCGATTTTGAAGCTTTTACGAAAATGTCGCAGCTCCCCAAACATGGCAAACAGAAAAAAAATAGCAACAAAGATGAAAATAAGACGCTTTGATCTCATGTTAATCTATCAAAAAAGAAAAATTTTGGTCAGCTGTTTTGCATCATTGTAACTTATAAGCATAGCAGCTACGCAACTGATTCTTAGCTAAAAGAAAACTAATGTGGTTTTTTTCATGTTAAGGTTATGATGTTGAATAATCACTACCAAAATCTGCTAAAACTAATGCAGGATCTTATTTATCTATTACACACTGAAATTTGTTTCAGTTTTACCAATTTTTTCAAAAAACCTTATATTCTTAAGCCAAAAAAGATCTGTCTTGTTTGTGTAAAGGTACGTGTGATAGTGAGGTAGTATTAGTACACAGGTACAAAACATTTTGAGGAAAAAAAGATTTGAAAGAGGTCACAATGTATTAGATACAATGAGAAAATCCAGTAATTTCGTGTGACCATGCAGCTGTGATTAACAAATCAATTTTTTTTGTTCTTATCACAAATGACGTCATACAGTGTATCTAATAACTGAACAAAGAGCGGTTAGATGTTACATTTTATGTACAGTAAAATCAAAAAAATTTCCAAATGAAACAGGTACACTGTTTGTTTTCTTTGTCCCAAAACACTTGAAAAATTAAAGTCAAAAATTTTTAAAATATGAAGAGTGCGTCAACGAAGTACAAAGTAACGTTGGATGACTTTTTTCGTTTTTTTTTGCTTAAAATTCGTCAACTGCTTCATTTAGGTTTTTTTCGTCTTCATTTGCCCATTCCTCGATAAATTCAGAGAACTATTCAAACAAATTCGCCTTTTGTTAGTGATGTACAAACAAAAAATTTTCTGAAACGTCACTTCCGTGCGATTGTCCTCCTATAGACAAAAAAAGTTGCTTGAATTAATTTATTGTATAATGCTTCTTCAATAACAGCAATCTTTCAAATTTTTTTGGTGATGTTATTATATTAATTATTTAAAAATTTTGTGAAATCAATTAATTCCCGACATTTGTAATTACGACATCTTTTTATTTTCAGATAATTCCCAAATTTCCTGGTGTGCTCTAAGTATGGCGTTATATCAATAAATAATACTTTCCACAATTTTGACACTAGCAAAAGTCCGGTTTTGAAAATTTTCAATTTTTGTGTGTTAGATGAAGAAGACACAGTCGAGTCTAATTGTGGAGCTATTATCTCTAAAATTACTGCAGTTGTCATGAAAAAGTTTCGCATGCACAAGAGAAAAGATCTCGAAAATCCATTTTTGTAAAAACATTAATAATTACATAATCTATTGTAAAAAACGGCATTTCCGTAAATTCGACTTCTGCTACTATATTATGATAAAAATACATTATGTTGTAATACATTATCGTGAAATGTAATATGATGAAATCAAAACACAATAAAAGTAGCGTGTGGAGTGTTTTCATTACAAAAGCTATAAAGCTATCGTTTCCAACTATACAGGCTTTAAATTTGATTATTTGTAAATTTTACTCGCTCAGAGTATAAAATCCCATGGTGGAAGATATGATTCACCATAGTTTTAAAAACGTTCCACGCTACTGTTTGATACGCAAATTATCTATATTTGACTGTTTTTGACAGGCATTCACATAAAACATGACAAAGTTTTGGAAAAATATGATACTTGAAGAAACTTTATAAATGTATTCATCCTACTTTTAAGAGGTTGCCTGTAAGATATTTATTATTTGCTAAGCTTTTTTACCTCCGCCCCATAAATATGGATCCAAAATTTTCTTGTCATACAGTTTCTTAGTGAAAACATGGATTACAACAGCTTCTAAGAATTTTTTGTTCTAGTTGTAGAAAAATTTTGATGATAGCAATGAACCTTTAGTTACACAAGTTGTCACATCACTAAAAGCAAATCGCGAGATTTGATTTATGGTAAGCATGCCCGATTTTATCGCACGTCACAGTGCAAAATAAGAATTTCAGATTAATTGATGATAACTGTGAGGAAAACGAAGAGGGGCTGTGTGAAATTGTCTATAACGAGTAATTCTCACTTTTCATTAAACTTAAGAGATGAAAACAAGAGCATTCAATATAATCATCATGCCCTACCTTTACAGTTCGAACTTGAAATACTTACAAAGTACGAGTGAATGAGCGCGAAGAAATAGTTATATGTCACATTGAAAAGATCTTGACTCGCAGTTGCATCACAAAAATGTAAACCGACAACAGTTTTGTACACATGGTTTGTACACATGCACGGATTTCTTTTGAAAAGTGCTGGCATATTTGCATTGCTAAATTAGCATAACAAACGTTGTCTATAGCGAAATGAGACTGCTGTGAAAAATGCACACATTGATTGAGGTATCGGCATAGGCAGCCCACAACTACGGGTTTTATATTATTAATATAAACGAATAAAGAATTTGTCTCGCATTGATCGCTCAATCTCGCATGTCATCTCGCATGTCTTATCGGTTTATTAATTACCCAAGGTAGGCAACTAAAGTCATAGGCGGCCCAATAAATCACTTAGCGAGGTAAATTGTATAAACAAACGATAACTCGCCCACTTCCTTGTAACAGACCGTGCGCCGCAAACTTTGTATTAATGGTTATATATACAATATATCAATTAATACCATTGAACTATAAATAGATGGAAGGCTTTGTCAGTCGATGTTTTGATGGCAGTAGTGCCCAGTCTTTCCACGCAATGTAAACACAAGGTCAATAGAAGCAAACGAAAAAATAACTTGTACGAACTAAGAAGCTCCGAAAACAAAACACAAATCCTTTTTGTTTTTATTTGGCAAACGAAACTTTTCAAATGAAACTTAACATCAAGTATACACAACTTTTCCACAGTTAAATTTTTGTAAAGGAAGTCATAGCCAACCATAGCTAGAAGGCAACTTGCTAGAGTTATTTGTTTTACATGAGAAAAAATTAAACTCAAAAACTAAAACGTTGTTGTTCCAAAGTAACAACTATTATGTGCGAGATACTTACGAACTTCATAAAATATAAAAAAGCAAATAAAATTTTAAACAAACACCAGTTTTGGAAATTTATTTTTACCCAAAACCATTATTATTAGTTCAACGTACAAATTTAGAAAAAAATACAATTCTTAGTACGAACTTACGCGAGATTTGGTTTTAAAAGATAAATTAAACTATATCCATCACATGTTGGCTTTGTGAAAAATATACATACATGCTACTTTATTTCGAACATCATTTTTTACCGAAACTAATGGTTTCTGTAAATAGGTTTACATAAAAATCCCGAAATATTCCAAGGAGAAACTCATGTTAATTATTGGATACATCCAGTTGAATTCTTTCGAAATTTAACAAATAAATAACATTTAACCGTTGTCTATACAGTTAGAGATACACGGGTATGACGTCAATTTTGATAAAAAACTTAAAAAGTGGCCACGAGCCGCCGGTTATTTTCTTTTCTTTTTGCTCAAATACGTCAACTGCCTCAACCAGGTCTTTGTGAATATCTTTATTTTCTCTTTCAGGGAGGTACTCCGATGAATAGACCACTTTGGCGGTTTTATTTGAATAAAAATACGTGCTCGCTAAGTGAAAAACTCGGACAAACATGGCGGAAAGTCATAACAATGACTAATTTGCTATATGAAATAGAAATATTTTTCGCTCTCTTGCAAATGTAGCGACGAATCAAACTTAGTCATAGTTGTTGTGCGTCAACGGATATACGATGTGAGTAAGCACAACAACTCGCTACAAGCTAACCACACAAGCCCGACCACAAAGCATGAAAGAACTATAACGCGCTTAGAAAGAACTAAGTCATCCCACTATTACGTGCAGGATATGACGGAGAACACTCCCTTTAGTTACTATATAAATGCACGACAAAATATAGAATAGGACAAGATATAGAATAGGACAAAATATAGAATAGGACAAAATATAAGCGCTAAAATGGAAGGAAGGTTACGTGAAGAGAAATTCAAAGCTATGAAACTGCCAGAAAGCAGTTTCTTCACATGCTTCAGAAAGGATTTGAATCTTGAAAATTGGTAAGATTGTAGTAATTTCATCCGTGTTCAATTGGCTGTAGTTTTTGTTTCATTATTGCTGTTTGTTTATAGTTTTTTCATGAGTTTTTAGAGTGTTTATGTTAAAGGTTAGTGATTTGTTTTTTTCAGTTGCCTACCTTGGGTAATTAATAAACCGATAAGACTAAACGTTACACGAACGTCGCGCGAGATTGACGTGCGAGATTGAGCGATCAATGCGAGACAAATTCTTTATCCATTTATATTAATAATGAAAAATCCGTAGTTGTGTGCTGCCTATCGTAGCGGCAAAAGTAAGACAAAATAACAATTTAGAACATTCTGGAACACAACACTCTTTTCTGGAACATTCGACAATGCTAGTTGCTGCTTGCAGTTGTCCATGAAATGACTGAGGCAACAAAGATGTAAAGCGTGAGGAAAGCTATATTTCAACGCTCTGTACCATCCGTTCTAAATGTCAGTAGCTCTCGTGCTTCTTTATTTAAACTTATATTCTTGGTAAAGAAGTGGTTGTATGCATCGAATGTCTTCTTCTGACTTAAAAGTAACGGATCTATTACAGTTGGATGAGTACTAGCAACACGTACTAGATCACTTTTATATTGAAGAATGTTGTGAAAGTAACATTAAATTTTCCAAGGTTGAAGGTTGGATCAACACCAAATATGGAACTGTTTGCTGGGTCATTGCAAAAAATTTCCATATCTAACAATTGCTAGTCCTATCCGAGAATACACCTTAGTTCAGGGGCACCCACAGCTTCACGGATAAACAGTTCTTTATCTTGTTGCAGTTGTTGTCGCTTGCACTGTTCAAGAAGAATGACCAACGAATTTATTTTCTTGAAGTTTCTTCAAGTTGAATTAAAACGCCGTAAATATTTTGCTTGCACATGATTTCTTGGTAAGTCGCTATGAGAACGTGCATTTATGATGCCGCCCTTTCTTTCCATTATAAATTGAATGTAAAAAAGTAATGTGCAAAAACGAATTGATGTTAATAAATTGCATTACAAAACGTCAATATCAAACAGCTCGTAACGATTTCTTTATTTTTGTGTTTTGATATACAGACATTATTTCACAGCTATTAAGAACGAGAAATTTAGTAAAAAAGGTGCTGGATCTGCCATTAATTTTAAACGGAGACGATCCTAAAACCTCAATTGTGAAGGAGGGGTGGAGGGGCAGTGTTTACTCATATATTCAGATGTGCCCAACTGATTTCTTCTAAAAGTATGATTTCTTAATACCTTCAGTGAGTGGCTTTCAAAAGAATCAGACAGGCAAAACTGACCGAATGAATAATTCCCCCCCCCCAGATAACGTTCGAAGGACGGCCCTGAATTTTACTATTATATGATTACTTTTGCATATCACATAATTTTTTAAGCACGAAGATACTTTATTGCTGTAGCACCCAGTGAATAAGCGGTAACATTTGTATCTGCAGATGGCGGTTTTAAAACCTGCATTTAAAAGCGTAGAGAAAGAAAATTCACTGGGTTATATTAAAATGGACAAAGGTTAATTGTTCTCACTGGTGGGTGATTGCCGTTTTCCTCCTCATCAATTTCGACTTCTAATTGATCAGTTCCAGTATTTGGATAACTAATTAACACAAATTTAAGCTACGTGTAAGAGAAGTGATTAGTTCATTGTCTAAAAAAGAAAATTTTTTTAAAAAAACGCTTATTTTAAGAATAAAGTTTTTTCTACCTTGAGGTGGAAAAATTAGATTTTTTCATAATAGCCAGTGATTGTGCACACGAGGTTGTAATTCCAGCGCTTTCAATTCTTTCCATAGCCAAGAACCGGCGGATTGAGTACCTGATTGCTTTTCTCCATCTTCTAAAAACTTTACAATTGCAGTATCTTTACCACCAGCTGAAGACGGCACAGAACGCGTGTCAACCACAAACAACTTTCCCGGTTTTGAACCGAGAAGAATGGTGTTTGGCTTACACGTGTAAAGTGCAACGGAGCCTATTGGATTTTTCATTTTTTCGACACCCTCTCTGAGACTGGATTTTCCCTGCTCGGTCAAGGCACCATGTGCAAAGGGTAGTTCCTCCAAAAATTCATAGCACCTTGGCAAAATCTCATTAATCTTGAGAATTTCATAGGCCTCAAGAACATCGCAACTTTTCGAAACATCCCGACAACTGTTAATTTCCCGTGGAAATCTTTCAAAGATATCTTCTGACAGTTGTGCGATTTCAGAACTTTATCATTTTCCATAATTTCCGAGATGTCCACTGAAATACGAGCAACAGCAGCAACAAATTTATCCACCTCTTCAATGAATGTCGACTGACGTACTCGGAGATGGAATTCTTCTGGCAAGTTAACTTCGTCTGGCGTGGTACATGTACTTTGTTGAATCGATCCAACGCCCAGAACAGAATACGTACAAATGTCGTATACTTCGACAAGTTTTTGCCAATCACCATTTTGCATTTAATTCAAATGGACGTTTTAACCTGGGATTTATTAGACTAAAAACAACCTATCCGTATGCCCAAATGTCGGCTTTTTTCATGTCTTCAAGTGATGCCGAGCGTAAATGCCAGCTATTACATAAAAGTCCAGCGCCATAAATACGGGTGTTCCTCTGTTAACGTTTTTTGTGCTTGTTGAAATTACTGTGTTGGTAATAATTTCATACGACCTGCTTCACCAAAGTCTGTTAACTTAAATATAAGAACACCCTTCCTCTCTTCCTCGATTTTCTCGGGATCATTCAAATGACTGTAGTGCTGGTTGGACACCAAGTTGTTGACAGGTTTCAAGTCTCTATGCACAATACCGTTTTCATGAAGAAACTGCAAACCTGACGCAATATCTTTGGTTGCGCATGATGAAACATTTCTTTGGAGATTTGAGAGCAGTCAGTGTGATCAAATCGTCGTAACAATTAAAGCTTGCAAAGAGTTCACTCTTTCTTCAAATCAAAGCAAATGTATTCGACGAGTAAGGCATATCAATCCGAACACACGCCCTTTAAAATCACAATGTTTTGATGCTTCAAACCATTAAGTAATTTCACTTCCTTGGTACACTTGCGCTCGGTGTCGATGTCTTCATCAAAATACTTTTTCACAACGAACTTATCATCATTATACGGCAGCTCTGCCGTGAATATTGTCAAAAATCCCCCACGACCTATTTCATCCTTGTTTCTTATTCTCAATTCGTCAAAATAAAAAGATGGTACGCTATTTAAACCACCTTAAAACGCTTTCATTTTACTATTTTTAATGCTTTTTAAGCAAATCGTTTAAAGATCGCACATACCATTGTGAATGGTAAAAGTAAAAAGTTAATAGTTCTTTTCAAGCACCCGCCGAATTGACATTCCTGTTAGTCAAACTGCATAACTTGAATGCACACGAAAAATGAATAACCAACTTTTATAAAGCGCGTTTAAATCAGTGAACCAGGCGTGATTGTCAGAATTCTGTTTTGCTACTTCAGTTTTTGACAAACAGCACTTGATGAAAAGACGTAAGCACACTAGCTATTTGCATGTCAATCATTGATGTCAATACTAAAATATGTCATTCTACTATTATGAAAGATTATGTGTTCGCATCTAACAAAATATACATCAAAAAACACAGTAGAAATTGTTTTAAGCGGTTGCCTTTGTGGATTTCTCGTGTAACTGCTTAATACTGGTTGACTGCTTAATACAGGTCTTCAGGAAAATCACCACACGGTCTACATGTAACATTTAATACAGCTTAAGATGAACCAATCGGTATTGTTCTTCAACAAACATGCCAAATAACCCACAACATAAAACAATTAATTTTTCTTAGTTTATAAACTAGAAAATAGAAAATATTATATATAAAAATGTCACGGCTCATACTGCTGAAAAATAATCAACGGAAAGCATGTCAACAGAGAAGGTGGATGTAACTTGAAATTTTCGAGCGAATATCCCTTTCTTGGAGATACCTTTCTTGTCAGTGGCCGAAGGGAAAGTTAACGTAAGAAAAAAATAAAACTGCTGTTTTAATACGTCAACACAAACAGATCATACTGTTGACAGTTTTGAGTGTTACTGAAGTTAAATGCAATATAAGACTGATATTTTCCAGGATAAACAGTTATTTAAATATTTTATTATATTTAGCTCGTAGAAAATACGATGTAATATATATCAGCACTTTACACTCGCAAGATGTATTATAAGAGACTATACATAATATAAATCCTAGGGTTTATATTATGTATAATCTCTCTGATGATGGCTTTGGAATAAAATGTATTATGAGTTTCAAGAGGAGTGTTGTCGTGCATTGGATTATAAACTATAGTAGCTCTAGAAAATTAACTTTCAAGTCGTGGTAATTAAAGCGTGTAAATTGTACTAATAATCTATTTAGTTTGTAAAATAAGACATTAGATCAAGTTATACGTATTTGTATCTATTACAGTGTACTGTTGAAATAGATCAAATAACTCAAGGGAATTTATACCAAAGAAAACTTTTCTTAAGGACAGGAGTTATTAATATAGTTGAGTGTCTCAATCTAACAACAAACATCTTGGTATATAAATAATTTTGGAATGGGAAACTGTTGCTTGTTGGTATAATGATATTACAGTAGAATTATTCCTGATTTCAACAATAAAGTACTCTAAAGTAAATGCAATATATAAATATATGGATAACATCAACACACGAATCATAACATAAAGCAAAGGTGGCAATCTTAGTATTGACAACAGAGAACGTGTCTGCTACCACCCGATTTTGACTCCGTGAGAAAAATCAATAATGTGCATACATAGAAATAGCAACATTCCGTGAATTCAGTATTAGGGTCATTAAAATTTGCCACTTTTAAATACACTCATGTTTGCACAATGTCTTTGGCAGAGAGCTTATATGCTAACTATTCACTCGGAAAACAAATTTTTGCAAAGCATTTTTGCGTGATATTGTGGTTTTACTTTCCTACAATTTGGCACTTGGATCAATTTAAACAAGTGTACATAATGTTGATGTAAAATGTTTTTGCTGTTTTTGCGAAACATCACCACTTGAATGGAAATGAAATTTCAAGGAGATCCGTGTTTTATCCCCTCATCTGTGTTTTATACCTCCATCTGTTTAGCAGAAAAGTCTAATAAATTCTTGAAGCCAAATTTTACACCCAGACACGTGGGATTACACTAAGAAACGCTTGTGAAGTCAATCAATTTTCAGAATCTCGGAACACTACACACGCGTGTCTGGGTGTGATTTCGCGTGCCTGATGTAAGATTTGTCTTCAATTTTATTCTTCAGAAAGCGTTCCATGTATTTTAGTTCAATGGTTTTATCCCGTCATCCGTATTTTATCCGTTATCCGTGTTTTATCCCCTCATCCGTATCCGTATCGGTGTCATTCGTATCATTGAGTTCTATAAGACCTGGAGGGGAAACGTCAACCAAATTACTATAAATTATTAGCACGCGGCCGCGTGGTCAAAAACATGGCGGAATTTGGTTTTCAAAGTCAACGGAAAGACCATTGAGTTCTATAATAACTGGAGCGGCTAACTTTACTGGGGCGAGGACGCCAAAAAAATGGCGGCCAAAGGACGTATTTCCGCTGAAATGATCGCTTTGCAGAAAAATAATATTCTCGACCCCCCCCTGGTGTCTATAGTAAATTATAAAGAATTTTTCAAAAACAAACACGATATCACAGAATATGGATATCGTTTGTTCCATATTCTGTGACGATTCATTTTTGGCATTTCTTTTATAATGCCAACACTTCAATCGTTCAATTGTTGGATGTCGTAGTTTCCACAAAAAGGAACATATCGCTTCTCACAGGTGAGGTAGTTGTTTTTTTGTTAGTCCGTCAACGATTGAAAAGCAATTATACATGCACTTGAAGAGCCATAAAATATATATTAAAGATCGTATTTTTTAAGACTGACTTGAAAGCCAAATATACTGATGTTTTCCTGTTTTTGTTTATAAAATTCTGCATACTTTTCTGTCATTTTTTAATGAATGAAATCGTAAATTTACCCATTTATTTGCAAAATAGTTTCCCTAAAGCAAAAAAGACCCTGCACACATTTTGCTCTGTGAGTAAGTATCAAAAAGAAATGATCAGCCCCAATGGTACCCATGATTTGGAGCAGAGCTTGTTATGTTCTATGTGCTGACAACATGCAGGGAAGATCAAGGAGTAAAGATGACTGGAAGATGTTATTGACCAGGCAGAGTCTTAAAAAATGATAATGCTGTAAAGATAATTGATTTATTGTCTGCCCTATTCCGAGTAATTTAATTTAATCATGGTCAAATTCTATGGATGGAGACAATGGATTCAATAAGGATGTCTTGAATGCTTTGAAGTTAAAGTTCATGATCCAAAGAAAGATGGCAAGAAGGTTGTGTGTGTTTTGATGCTTAATGAAATGTCAATTCACAAACATGTAAAATGGAAGGCCATAAAGTTTGTGTCTATGTAAACATTTGTACTGAGATTGATGATGACTCGATGCAGATGTGAAGCATCAAACTGTATAAGCCATTGGGTTTTATGTAACTTAATGTTTAAATCATGTCATATCTTTATCAAAATATTTTAGTTCAGTGTTGTTTGAATGTTACTAATATCTAATGCACTATACTGAAGCATTAAAGATTCAGTGATAAAACCTTTAAAGTTACTGTACTGTATATTTCTTATATATTTCTTATATTTCTTTAAGAAAAATTTGAGCTTATTTATCTATTAGAGTACAGAATGGAGATTTATCATATGCATTATTGCTGCTTTTTAAAGAAAAGTTTTCACTTTTCAAAGCTTTTCTACAAATTTTTGCTTCTTATTTCTTATCATGAGATTGATGATATAGAGGTAATATAATCCAATAACTTTCTAATTTCTAAAAGCTTTTAAGCTTCTAGCATAAAAGTACACTATAGGTATGTAATTCATTTGGTTTTATTGCCTTGCTATGACATATCTACTTGCACTTCATCATTCTTGTATGAACAAAACACCAGATGTGGATACTCAGAGAACAAAATGCACTACCAACTGCTTATGAAATTTATTATTGAGGTGAAAACTGTGTTAATCATTCAAATTATAGTGCACTTTTATTGCAAATATAGGAAAA